AATAAAATACTTAATAAATATATTAAATATTTATATTAAACTGTTAAGTATTGCAATAAACTAGATAATAAATAATTTTAATTATATATTTATAATAACTACTTAAAAGGATAATATAAAATAGTAAATAATTAGTAATACCTACTACCTAAAGAAATAAATCTATAATATTAATATAATATAAAAATAAAAATATAACTTCCTTTATAAATTTTATTTATATCTACTATATAGATACTAAAAAGTAATAAAAACACTTAAAAGACTATAAGAATAAGGTTATAAGGTTAAAAGAAAAGAAGTTAAGAAAATTATTAAATAATATAACTTATACACTAAAATAAAGTTATAACGATATAAACCTTATAGATAACTATAACCCTTATTAGTAGTATAACGACTTTAAGACTTAATTATAATAGACTTTATTATAAAGTTACCTTTATTAAAAGAACCCTTAACTAAAATCTTTTATAATAGCATTATAGTTATAATTAACTGATTTATAAAATTCTTATATTATATTTTATATTAGGAATTTATAGATATAGAATAACTTTTTTATATTTTTTATAGATATATTATTAATATATATAGACTACCTAAAGAAATCCTTTTAGATAGAAGAGGTATATTTATAGTAATATTTTAGTAATTACTTATAGATAGACTTAAATTAAACTATTAACTTATAATAGCATTTAGACTATAAGTTAATAGATAAACTAAATAAATAAATTAAATACTTAAATAATACCTATAGTATTATATTAACTATAAATAGAATAATTAAGTTAAGAAACTATTAATAGCCTAACTTATATATAATATTATATATAATAAAAGTATAAAATTTATATTAGCTTATATTAATTTTAAATTTATATTAAATATATACTATAATATATAATAAGAAAAATCTATTAATTTAGCTACTATTATTAAAAGTAATAATATAAAAAACCTATATAAAGAAATAAAAATAGAACTTAAATTTATTAAAAAATAAATAAAAAACTACTATAACCTAAAATAGTTAAAGGGACTAACCTTTTTAAAGAAAGATATAGTTTACCTAGCTATAAAAAACATTAAAATAGACCGATTAACGTATAAATTAAACTATAAATTTATTAAACTCTATAAAGTATTATAAAAAATCTTAAAAAATAACTATAAATTAGACCTATTATTAAAAGTTAAACTTTATTTAATCTTTTATATTTTATTACTTAAATTAATAGTAGATATAATATAAGTTAAAACTAGTAATAAGCTATAAAAAATCTTAAAATTAGAAATTTATAAAATAAAGGCTATTTAAGATATATATAAAAATAATAATTAAAGGGAATATTTAATAAAATAAAAAAACTACTTAAAAAATAAAAATACTTAAGAATTACTAAAATACCTTATTAATACCTAATAACTTCTAAAGAATTTTTATTAATAGTAAAAGCTTTTAATTATATAGTAAAAAAGCTTAAAGATAATTAAGTTAAATAATTAATTAATTATTTAATAATTATAGCTAATTATTAATAATTAACTAGCTTTACTTTTAACCTTAACTTTAGCTTTATAAAGTATAATCCTTTTTAAGGCTTTAATATATCTATTATAAATATTTTAAAGGTAATTATAACTAATTAAAATAGGCTATAAGTATAGTTAATTAATGCCTATTAAGTATGTGTTAAATATATTTACTATTTTAATTATAATTAAAATTAGTATTATTAATTTAATATAATTAAAGTCAAGAACTTATTAATGAGCTTATTTAATTTATTAATAGTTTTATAATTATTCATATAAGTATTTTTAAAAGATAGATAAAAAAAAAGTTAAAATTATAAAGGACTTATAGGCTTAACTAGGCTTTTTAAAGCTTTTTAGCTAATTAAGTAATATTTTTATTGTAATTAAAGTTATTTAAAATACTATAGCTTAAATATAAATTTATTAATTAAGTTTATTCAGACTTTAATTTAATTAAAGATTTTACTATTAATACTTTTATAGCTTATTAAAATATTTAAATTTTATTTAGTAATTATTATTAAGTTAAAGCTATATAATTAATTTATTAATTTATTAATATCTATAATCTTTTTTTTATTATTATTATTAACTTAATAAAGCTACTAAGCTATTAACTTTTTATATAAAGGCTTAAATAATAAAGTCTTTATAATAAGCTTATATCTTTAAGGTTAAAATTATATAAAGTTTATTTATTTTAATAGTATAATCACTACCCAAATTAAGTAATATTAATATTACTTATAAATTTACCTTTAATAGTTATATTAACCTTTTTTCTTTACTTTAATTAAAAGAATATTAAATTAAATTTATTATAAAGTATTCTTTTTAATTTAACTTTTTTTTTATCAATTATAGCTATTAATATAATATTTATATAAAATAGCCTATAGTTATATATTTAGGCCTATTATATAATTATTTATAATTTTAATATAGCTATTAAGCCTATTTTATAAAAAGTTAATAAAAGAAAATTAAAAAAAGTTTATATAATAATAATCACTATTAAAAAAAACTTTTTATTAAACTATTAACTTAATTTAATTTAATTTAACCTTTATTAAAATTACTATTAATATTACTATTTATTACCTTTTATAATATTATTATTTTATAAAAAGAATATATTTAATTAAGTAAATTCTATTTAATTAGCTATAGCTTCTTTTTGCCTGCTAAAGGCTTTAACTTTTAAATATAAACTCTTTTTTATATATATAATTCTTTATTTTATATAATTAACTTTAATAGAATTTTTTAGGTAATTTTATTATATATAAACATTAAATACTACTTATAGAAAGCCTACTTATAGGTTAATAAGGATTAAAATTAATAATACTTATAATTTAAAAGCTATAATCTTTCCTTAAGTCTTTAATTTAAAGATTTTCTAGCCTTAAGGTATTAATATATTATTAGTTAATTTTTAAAAATAAAATCTTAAATTAATATTACTTTTAAATAATATTAAAATTAAGGTTTAGGCAGTAAAGTATTTTATACTTAAAGGTAATTAAATTAAGTAATTAATAATCTATTTAATTATTATAGTTAATTATAAATACTTTTTTTATTTACTTTTATATTTATATTTTAGCTAAAAGGGTTATATCTTTAATAAGAGTTATAATCTTATTTTAATTAATTTTAAGATTATAATTAAATAAAGGTGATTTTTATATATTTAATTAATTAATAATTAATAATTATAAATTTAATATTTTAATTATAATTAAAGTTAGTATTATTAATTTAATATAATTAAGGTAAAGAACTTATTAATAATTAAGGCTTATTTAATTTCTTAATAATTTTATAATTATTAAAAAAAATATCTATAAGAAATAAATAAATTAAAAAAAATTAAAGTAATAAAGAAGTTATAATTTTTATTAATTAAGCCTTTTATAGCTTTTTAGTTACTTAGGTAATATATTTATTTTAATTAAAGTTACTTAAAATATTATAGCCTAAAGGTAATTTCATTAATTAAATTTATTAAGACTTTAATTTAATACTTGTATAGTTTATTAAAATATTTATATTTTATTTATTAATTATTATTAAATTAAAGCTGTATAATAATTTCATTTAATTAATTTAAATTAAATTAATAATAAATTATTAAATTTAAAAGACTTAGAAAAAGTCTGAAAGAAAGGTTATTTTTTTAAATTAAATTAAAACACTTTCTTTATTACCTTTATAGGCTTAAATATATATAAAGAGTAATTTTCTAATATAGCTAAAAGGGTTATTATAGTAAAAAGGGTATTACTTTTAATATAAAAGATTTTTATAAATAGAGTTAAATAAAGATAAAGTAATAATAAGGTTTTAAAACTAATAGTTTAAAGAAATTAAATTAACTTTATTACTTTATATAAATTAGTTAATAAAAGTTAAATTAATATTTATTAATTATTTTTATATATTAAAATATATAATTAATTCTTTAGTTTAAATTATTACTTCTTTATTAACATTACTTTTTCTATAATTCTTAAATATAAAGTTAATTAATTATATACCTAAATATATATATTTAATTGATAGATTTATTATTAACTTTAAGTTAATTTAACTTTTATTAATTAACTTATTAAAAAGTTAAAATGTCTTTAAAGTAATATATAAGGTATAGCTAATTAAAGTCTTAAATAAAAAGATAATATAATAAAATACTTATTTTTTAATATAATATAGTATAAGGTATTATATATTATACTAAAAAATATAATAACCTTAATAATAAGTCTTAAAGTTATATAGCTATTATTATAAATCTTATAATTTAATTAAATAAGTAGCCTTAATTTATAAATATAAAAAAGATATTTCTTTTAACCTTAATAGGCTAAATGCCCTTTTTATTATTATTCTGCCTTGTGCTGATACCTTTGTGCCCCCGCGGTACCTTACTCTGTGTGCTGTCCCTCTTTTCACCGTACATTTCGAGGAGTTCCTTTGCTGTCAATTTCTCATATGGTACCAGTTTCTCGTACAAAATCTTATTATGTGTCTTCTTCCGAGACGAAGCTTCTTCTTTCCTGGCCTCGAAAATCCCCTCTGGGTCGGACTCAAGTAAGGCGTATTTCCGTTTAGTTCTATGTATGAGACGAATGGTACGTTCCTCAGGTGGCAGCAGACTCAATACGTCAAAGCAAGTATTTGCCATGAGGAAACCGCCTCTCTCGTCTCGGAAGTTATATCCCTGCGCAGCAAAGTTCTCCAGGCAAGCTCTCAACACCCTTTGCCCTACCTTGACTATCTCGGTCGATTCATGAAAGTTGAGCTTAATCTCCAACAGCGTAGAAGACGGAGGCTGGTGAAGTACTGATGTATGCTGATGAAATTAAGTTTCTGTCCTTCATAATGAGATCTCCTGATTGATCTTCGCTTACCTGCTGCTCGACACACGTTTTTTCGGGATGCTGGTCTATGTGACTCTGGGAAACAAGTTAGAAAATAGTTGAGACAGCTGCGATAAACCCACTGGTGCATCAATTCCTTCTTTCAAATCGTCCATCTTTTTCTCGAGCTCCTCCTTGTCTTTTTGCAGTTGGAGTATCGTTTCAGTGTTACACTTTTCTGTGTTCTGCAAGGGGTCAGGTTCTCCTATAGGGACGAATGAGCTACGGTTCTGAATACACACCAGCGTGTCGATCTCTTCTTTCAGAGACTTGACTCTGGATTCGAGATCTCTCTCCTTTTCTTCTTGAGTTCTTAACCTTCCAGCACCATCCTGTTCACGTTGTTCGTCCTCTCGTAATCTCGATCGAACACTTTCCAACCTTTCGATTTGTTTGTTGGTCTTTTCGAACAATTCGGCCTCCACCTTCTTCTTCGCCTCGATATTCCGGTTAATATTCTCCAGGCTTTCTTCTTTTTCTTTCACTTTATTCGCCATTTCCCAGAATTGGCTTCTCATGGATTGGGCGTCTTCGCCTTCTGATGTCACAGTTTTTCGTAGCTGCTGAACCTCCTCCTCTAGCTTCGTTTTTATGTCCGATAACTCCTGGATGTCCTTTCGTATTGTAGCCTCCTGCCACTTATCAACTTGTATAGCTTCGTCTCCCAGACTCTGTTCGTCAGAAAAGGCGGCCGCATTCAAGAAATTCTCTATGCCCTTGAATTCATCACCGAATACATCAAGGTACAGTGATCGTTGACTGAAAAAGAACCTTGACCCCGGACACTCTGGGCTGAACGGCTTGTGGATGTTCTCTAGGAAAAGAGAATGCTTGTGTTCTTCTTGATCCTTGGATAGAGGCTTTCCATCTGAGTAATTTGAGGAATCGCCTGGCGTCTTTGAAAAAGACTTTTCTCCTGTGGATGGCAGTATCATGCGTGGCTGATTCACAATCGCGGTGATCTGTGGCGTGCAATAACCAAGCTTCTGGGCTAGAAGAGCGAATTGGTAAAGTTTTGACTCATCTATAAAATACTTAGGGGCTGCTTTCTTCCTCTCGATCTGTTGTGATATCGATGGGTGCTCTCGGAGAGCAAAAAGCCAGAGCTGCCTGTACGCCAACTCTTTTTCATTGATTTCGCCCGCCTCCACCCATTTGCAACGGTTATCCGCAACTTGTAGCATGCATGGGTTTCTCTTACTAAACGCGTCATCTAGGTTTTTTCTTATGTTCTGTGGTGTCCCACTGACCAAATGTCGAAGACAGCCGGTGACTTCTTTCAGGTAACCGATGTTTTTGATAAAGATGCTAAATGTGGGCACCAAACGATCTCTCGTAGCATATTCCAATCGATTGAGGATATCCCGTCTCTCGTTATCCTCAAAGTTCCGGAGAATCTTATTGGCCATATCTCGGATATCGTCATGGTGTTTTTTGCTGGACCCTGGGGTTTTCCCCCCAACCTCTTCGAGCATCCTCGTTGACAGTCTCGATTTAATGCTATCGTTGGAGCCGCAAATGTCCCGCCAAAAGTCGAGTACTCTCTTCATTTGGTTGACGTTCTGGTGACATCAGCATGAATCTTGGCGTCCTGGTGCTGAGCTGCTCACCATCTTATCAGGCGCGGAGATCCATCGCGATATATTGCCAAGTTGTGCCCCGCCGAAAAGTGCGGGAGTTTTCTCAAACTCTCGAATTAAATTCTTATACTTGACGTGGTTCTTCCACAAGCGCTGCAAACCCGTCGCTTTACTTTTTGACTTGCGGGTAAGATGCGCGAGCCACTTGTTTTGATGATCGTCGAGGGAATCCTCATGCTCGAGCCAGAAACGGGTGGTCCAGTAGAGAAGCTCGGCGTCGCTGGGCTCTTTTTCGCTTGATCTCTCGTCTTTCAAATCCTTGATTGCCTCCAAACTGAGATCTACTACGATCAAACGAGGTTCTCATTGAGGGCTGGAGGCTTGCTTGACATACCTTGTTGGTAGAGACGAATTACCCACCGCCTGTTCATGTCTTCAGCAACCCTCATCGCTGCTAGAACACGATCTTGTCCTCGCAGGCAGTGAACGCGTGAACCGGTTGCAAAGTTTAGTTCTACTATTTCAACATCATTTCTCTTGAGTCTTTCAGAAGAAACATTTGCATTTTTCAGCGCCTCATTGAGCTGCGTCTGGTCAATCAGCGCCGGGATTTGGTGGCTAATCTGGTGCGGTGCAAAACTTATCCCGTTCAGAAAAAGGCCCCCTAGACTCTCGACGTTATCCCAATCAGGCTCACTACCAGGCAGTCTTGTGTCGTGAGTTAAGGAGAAGTCCAAAACTTCTAAACGGACGCTAGCTGTGCCAAGGAACTTCTGTGTCTGCTCATCTTGTAAACGCTCCATTGTATGGGTATGGAAGATCTACTGAAGGGGCAGAGTAGACACGTAGGGCATGTCAAGTGTAATAAGAAAAACTTGCATTCGAAAATTTGCCAACAATATAATCCATTAATGGCTTTTTACAGCTACAGGTATCTCTTTCTGTATTTCGGTCTTGTAGAAGCTTATCCGCTTTTGCAGCTAGCCAGTATTGGACCAGCGAATCATATAAAGTCCACTACCTTCGTATGTCACATTCTCTCTCCGACTAGCTTTGGTACGTCGTACTCTACAGACTCATTCATGTCATCTAGAGCGAAAAGGAATACAGCGCATGACATTTTAAGCATCTTCGGTCAGGGCGCCCAGGCTTCCGAGCGAGCTAGTCATGAGCACCAAAAAAGTGAAGGGACCAGCCAGAAGTCTTCTGTAATTTCAAGTGACACTGGAGCAACCCAAGAAGAAGCGGTTCTGAACAGAAGACTCCCCAAGAAAGTCTCTTTTGCTCCAACTGAGCCTATAATTAGGTCCAGATCCTCAACCAATTCTCCTAGACTAGCAGCTCCAATCTCAAGCGCAGAGAGTAAAGTGGGTAGTTCGGGTAGCGAACAAGACACAAAACCTCATGTGAAGGCAGAATACACTATCACTATCGGCCATAATTCAGTATTATTAGCCCGTCGAACAACATCGCATGGATTCTACAGGGATCACGACAGGGTGCTGTTGTGGGATATTTCCGGAGAGGAAAAGGAGAACGATTATCGAGTTCAAATGACCAAGTCCATCCAGGACGATCACTTTGTCACACCAATCGCTGCTTATAAATCATCAACGGGCATTACCATTGCATATGAGCTCATGGCCGTTTCTCTATTAGAAGTGGCTATTTGTGGAGACTTTGAGGAGTCTGAGCTGGTCGTTATTCTCAAACAGGTCTGTTACTAGTATCCCCATGATTTCGCGCAAGGCATATCTCTAAAAGCCCTTATGCTGAGAGGTCAAGGTTGTCGACGGTCTGAAGTACTTAGAGCAGAGAGGAATTGGCCACCCGAAATTGTCCTGTAGTAGTGTGCTTATGAGCACCTCGGGGCAGGTCAAGATCGGTATGGACAAGCTACTACTTACCTCTTTTGGTTACAGGACTGACTGGGCTTAGGGGATCAGCACTTTTGCAGCGAAGGCGGAACCGAAAACCTTATAACAGGTTTGTATAAAATCCTTGAGACATTACTGACCGGCCATGAGAAAGGAAACTTCAAGGAGAATATGCAATCTACCAGATGGGGTGATCCACAACTGTATGAGTTTTTCGACACTGTGGAACGTTTCAAAAGTGAAATGACACCGGACTTGACGACCCACGCCAAGTTGGAGAAAATCGCACAGGTAGGAACTCACTCTTCCATATCCACAGATAGACTGATCGGAATGGAAAGCATCCATTCTTGAAGCTGAGCCAGGAACAGCTACCGACAGCAGGCTTTGCCTTGCCCATTCTGTGGCGATTCCGCTGGCTGACGAAGGACGTGGACGATATCTCTGACGAGCTTTCGGACAGAACATTGTGTTGAATCTTTGGCCTAGCTGAGGCCGAGATGTTTTCGATAGATTGTCCACTGCGGAGACAGAATGCTAACACCAGGAACACGAGTACGGTCTAGCTATTTAGTATAGAGTCAATGACATAAAGCCAATTCCAAATGATCGATTGCCAGGATGCTAACTACTAGTACACTCGTATTGATGTTATTTTAAAGATGTAAACTAGCTGCGGCTCAATCATAGTTATCCGGGGCTAAACTAACCTGTCTCAACAAAGGTCCTTGGAATAACTTTCCGTCTTATACTGAAATTCCTGGATTCTTCCACAGGACTCATCATTTCTAGACTCGTAGGAGCTCCTGACATCTTTTCCACGAGCACTATCATCCAGCGGAACACCTGCATCAGCTTGCTTGTCGTTAATATTGGATTTGAATTGGTTGACAGGATCCTCAAAAGAATGTCTGTCGTCCTCTGGCTGGTAATCTGTGAATATTAAATCAAAGAGGCTTGATTTCGCTGTCGCGAACTGGACGAGATCGTCCCTCACATCCCCCGAAACAGATGCTGTGATGGTTATGAGCGTTCCTCAGCTGCAGAGTACGAATAGCCACATACCTGCTATCAATTTGGGCTTGCTGACACTGCTGTCTGCCGCTTTTGTTGCTGCTTCTTTTCTTAATATGTCGGCGAGAGGCATTTGGTATTCGTATAAATGAACTCTTTTCCACCTCTTCCTCATCTTTTTGACCTGCTCAATCATATCTTTCGCCCAATCGGGTGGAATTCCATTTTCGTCATAGTAAATCGAAGTTTTGACATACGTTTTGTCCTCCTGTAACTGTGTGTTGTTGTTTTCACGACTCACGTTCGTCCCACTTGCCTTATTATCTACTTGGATGGTTTCACCAAGTAGGTCATAAACTGCGCAGAATTGTTCTGAATCCAATTAGTTTTACGAGAACACGAGGTTTAGGAACTCAGACACATGCCCCAAGAGGAAACCTGCCAGACTAGGTGCACAGGATTTATTTTAATCTCCTTGTTATGCGCTGCACGAACCAGCCACTGAAGATAGGGTGAGAGTGCCACAAATCCCAAGCCCGTGGCTACTAACAAGACAGTTTCGTAATTCTCCACCGGGATCCTTGAGCCGTAGGGGCCGGCGAATATGGCAATATTCGATGTCATGCAACGCTTGGCCAGTTCCCTCAGATTGTTCGTGAACCCCCTCTTCACATCAACGACCATCCTCAACTGGGTTTCGACTTCAGAAGAACAGTTTCCTATGCTGAAAGGATGGCTTTGCAGGACCGAGGAGAGGGTGGTCGGGGTCCATAAGTTGATATACTGCCCTGGTTCTACACGAAGGGGCCTCCGCAAGCTGATGACTATTCTTACGTAGCGAGATGTCCCGTTCTGCTCGAATGAAATGGATTGAAACCAAAAGTGGTTTCTATACGCCATTATAAGCACTCTTGTGAGCAGCAATAGTAAGAATATGCCAGCGATCACGCATAAAGTTGCTCGCACCAGTTGCTGATCGGCCGGCACGTGGCACCATATGGCGTACCCTGACAACAGTGCAAGAGTATTATGTACGAACAGAACTAGTTCGTACGGTAGGAATGTAGCAAGCGCTCTGAGAGGTAACACAAGACTGCAAATGCCCAGTAAAGCCTTCCGAATATCATTAGCTTCAAAGAAAAGGGCAGTATGCGGTGAACTCTTACTAAGGCAGGGAGGAGATCACGGATTTGCTCTACAGCTAGCCACCCTCTCTTCGAGAAAGCTCCAGCGGCATGAAGTATACTCAGAACTACCACGACGTAGCCCGCGCTTGCATGCAGTTGCTTTTGGGCACGTAGACCTATGCGTAGAACAGAGGTTGAAAAGTCAAGACCAGGGCCAAGGTACAGTAAGATTGCGTTCGCAATCGCCAACTTCCCTGCTCTTGAGAACACTTCCTCGGAGCTTGATATGTTGACGAGAATAAAGGCAAAGTTTATCGAGAGATGAAACATGATAAACATAATTTGCGCGCGAGTATAGGTATCCAAGCTACTTCCACGCCGAAAGATCTTTCTATACAGAATGCGCCTCATCGCCCAGCCAGTCACCCTTCTTCTGACGCGGATCAACATAGCGAACTCCAATGGCTTTTTAGAGCAAGAGAGGGCCAGCTTCAGGCCAAATATTATCACTGGTCTCAGCGCAAGCAGAATCAGTAGAGCTATTATTCCTATGGTATACAAGCCAGTAGTGCTTCCGAAAACATCTTTGGTCGTTGGCAGCAGCTGCATGCTGTCAAGCAGATATCGTAGACCGATAGGGTGGAGTGAGAAATACATCCTGAATTTGGAGTATTTGTACATCATTCTTATACTATTGTCATCTTGTCTCATTAAGGTGAGAAAGTGGCCGTGGCATTCTGGAGGGCGACGCCATATAGACAGGCGCGGCTTATTGAGTTACAGTCCTAGATTAGTGAAAGCTGGGCTCTATACATCACTGACTGGTGAGATACTGAGATTTAGCATCGAAGGACGGCTGGTACTTCATCGGTTTCCAGACAGAAGTCAAGATCCGTGTATGTCCGACCGCCTAATACGTCCAATATCAGATTCCACCTCCGTTTTACCATCAAGGAAGATGCTGAAAATGCACAGAAATGGACCAAATGTACATAGCCAATGTACGACTAGTACAGTTGCAAACAAACACGACTCTATTGCGCCCGGTACGCTGTGGCAACAGTCTGTTACGATCGTTTGGTTATACAGCTAGGCAGACATAATAGTGTGATAATGACTGAAGCTTAAAGGGGGAAGAGATCTAACCGACGGATTACCAGGTGATATCATTGGGTCACCTGATCTTATCAGAGATCTTGTACAGCAGTTGTGACGGTTGGGGTTTACTAGGTTCATGTTTGCAGCAAGTTTGAAGACTTGTCTTTCTTGTTTATATTTATACATTCTTTTATAAACTCCCTGGGTTTGAGCGATCTTGGTATCATTGCTCCTTTGTTAAGTTTATTAAAATAACTACTGTATTACAAGCACCCGGTTTTAAACATTGGGGAACGTCAAGATATCGAAGAAAGTAATATAATTTGTACAGTATTAAGCCTTATTATACCACGCTATCTTTTTGGATTCTGCCCTATTTGGATTCCCGCAATTGTGGACGCTTCCGCCCTGGAACTGGCCGCTGTTTACGCTTGCACTTAGATAGTCGGATGACATTCTGAAACATCTTTCCTGCGGTAGACACGCAGTAACCCTTGTACTATATAAATCCTACAGCGTCCTGGATATGCTTGGATATCTGGTTGCTCAGCCAAGTACCACATACTACAATGAAACTCAAAATACTGTTGTGGAGCTTTGTCCTCTCTGTAGGTGTTGCCGCCCTGCCAATTGCTCAGTCTGAACGAGGTCAACGAGGAGATCGCCTAGACATTAGAACCAAAGATGAATGCCAGGACTTAACGTCCTCAGGAGGCTTGCAAGATGTATATAAGCTTATAACGTGTTTTTGGAGAGACCGTACCTCTAAGATTTGACTATCGACCATCCTCAAAACAGGTTGACAGCAAAGACCGGACAGCATTCGTACTACGTCCGGCGGGGTCGAACAAGTGGCGGATTGAGAGTTTAGTGACCCAATGAAAAACCACTCTCCAACTTACAGCATAAGCCAGATGAGTTGGGTCAAGTTGGCCATAAGATTCCAGTTGGAAAGGGGCAGCAAAGGGACATCGTATTCAAGCTTGGACTGAGTACTTCACAAGGTAGTAGTCATATCAATGGAACCTCAGGATCTCTTGACTAGGGTCGTGTGGATTATAGGCCAAATGGCAGTATGATTACAAGTTGAGTGGCCGATTAATCAACAGAGGCTGAGGATCAAAACGGACTGTATGAATGTGACTGGGAGAAATTTCGTATTCCCTGTGCGGACGGGATGACCAATGGGCTGGAAGCTGACAAGATCGTTTTCTATTGCATGCTCATGGCGCATTGATCGAGATCCAATACTGGCCGTGGCACATTAAGACTGTTCAAACTCTGTTCACAGTCACATGGATGCCATATTTAAACTGAATAAGATACCGTCTATCTGTAACTTTGAGGACGTATAACCTACTCCTACCTGGGCCATACGCATATTGATCTGGCAGTCTTCTGGACAAAAGACAAGGACAGAATGTTTGTCTTTTGGTCCATCCATAGGGATCGCTTCCCAGAAGCCACTACGCCACTGTCACGGTTTGGACGATACCTGCGGGCATCCGTGCTGCTCATCATTCAGCTGGCTTTGATGATTGGCATGCCGGCGATAACCAGCTTTCTGGCATGGTCTACCCGAAATGAACTCTGGTCAGCCCTGACCGATGCAGGGCTTGCGAGGCAGGCAAAGGAGGTCCTGGGATACCTTATCCTTCACACAGTATTCCTCGTATTGCTCATCTGGGGTGCCGTACCCATCTTGGCGATGGGCAGGGTGTACCACAGACGGGGAAGAATCGCCGCGTATGCGACGTTCGGCTTGATCATGGGCGTGCTTATAGGTGTGTCTGTGCGCACGATGTATCTGACATGGAACTGGACGCTTCGCTTTGAGGATAACGCGAAGCTTGCTGGACAGTGCAGTCTTATCACCCGCACCCTGGGCATTCTGCTGTACTTGTGTTGGTTCTCGGTTGTCCTCTCTGTTTTTTATGTGTTGCGATTCGGCACACCCTTGTTTGTTCAGAAGATATTGGATGACGCTGCACATGTGCTGTTTCCTACCAAGATGCGTTCGAGAACGGTGGACGAGAAGGAGAGGGCAGGCAGCTGACACAGAGCGCCAATTGGAAAAATTACAACGCACAGTAGCGAAAGGCGAAGAGATCTTGTCGCTGATTGACATGGCTGGGAGCATATACGCGCGGAAGTGGAACAAGGCAGGCGGTCTCAGAAGACTAAAATTGTGCTGCCTGAGGACCGATCCAGGGATGTGTACATGTTGTCTTGTGCCGGGGTTACACGCATTGGTGCATAATTTAGAGCGTCCCTAATTACACACAATACCGCAACGGCTGTTCAACAGTACATGCATGTGATGGCTGCTAAGTCCTACGTGAAACATGAAGCACGCGTTACCCTCTTGTGGCGTGTTCCGTCGCGTATCCGCCGCGCCGCGTCGTTAATCAATAGGTACCATCTCCGTACCGTACCCAGCAATATTATGCACTACCAGTACTGACAAGTGGAGATGAGCCGAAGGCGGTCCGTGCTTGCCTTGCCCAGCTCTTGTTTTTGATGTAAACACTGCTCTTCACAATCGCCAAGTCCGTCTCCACACGGGAAAATTCGAAAGGTCTCTCGCAGCTGGTTTGGCCAATGAATATTTTTTCAGTACCCTGAGAATTGGGGGCAGCAGCAAAATTATCACCGATATGGACCAATGCTACTCAGTTGCGGCATGTCTTCTCACCCAACATGCTATTTGCTTTTGGCATCCATTTTCAAGCTCTATCCCTGCCCGTTACAGGGCCGGATGTAATGATTCGGAGCCCCTTTTTACGTACTGATAAGCCCACGTTTCTTCACCTAACAATCATCATGTTATATAGAGACTCGATTTCCACCTCGTAGTTGGGACAGAGCCTTTGCCAGCCTCTACAGCGATTTCCTTCACCACACCTTCCCATCTCTGACACAATGGCGACCCTTCCTGCCAATCCTCACATTGCTGTCGCCGTCGTGATAGACGGTAGGCGAGCTCAGGAGTATCAACCCCCTTGGCTCCTATCGCCTCCCGAGTCGAACAGGAGACATGGCCTGCCTATCGCTAAATGCTACATTGAATCCCAATCCCAAAAAGCGTTCAAGATTCAGTGTCGGGTTTCACCTCGCTTCTCATTCCCGCCTGATACGGACTTGCTCCTCGTCTCTGTCTTCGTCGATGGGCATTTCTTTGACTCGAGGGCTTTTCCAAAAACAGAACTCGGTTGCATCGAGGAAATAGGGCATAGACAGCGAGATCCCACAGACCCCTCGTCCGGCTGGTACAACATGACTTTTCAAAAGCTCACAAGTGGCAAGTCTCCTGTTGCTGTTTTGGAATATGGCTCACATAACTACAGTGGAAGACGCTGATCAGAAGACAATCAACGCTGATTCTCAGCGTATAAAGACCGTAGGAATTATTCGGGTCGTTGTTGGTGTTGCCAAAAGCGTGACACGCTCTCCCAAAGCTCCTAGGTTTGACGATGGCAAGAGGCATGAGCCCCTTCGCACTTCTCGAAACGGACTTGCTCCCAATGATCTTGAGCAAGGCCTTGGAACCAGGTTTGACGATGGTGAGAGCAACAAGTTCCTTGAATTTTCCCAAAAGGTACTTGTTCTCAACAATCTCGACCAAGGCCATGGGACTAGGTTTGCTAACCAGCTCAATTGATATGACATGTCTGACATGCTGCAGCTACCACAAGGTTGATGATGCTTTCGATTCTGTTACCTTACCTTGTCGGAATAGACAGGCCCTTGGATGTTTCGTCTTTTACTATCGGCCTTATGGTATGTCCCTGTTGCTTATGGTGGAATGGATATTACTGAACCAAGTGGCTTTGTAGACGTTCTCCATGCTGAGGATATACTTAACCCCAACTTCGTCAATCATGATGCTCATGGCATGCGGCTCTCAACTCAAGACGACAGAGTCAGTATCATGTCTAATGGACGTATTGCCATCGACTTGACTCGTGGCCCGTAATGGGCAGCCGGTGGACAGTCATGATGCGGCAGGGAGAGTTGGAGCAGGTTGCTGAGTTAAGATCTATTCTACGCTTGGGAGACATGGATTCCCTTGGATAAGTGGCTTCCTACGTTCTGTTTCTTACTTTTCTTTGCTTTTGAAAATACCTTGTTACTTGAAGAATAGATTTCATCCACTGTGTTACTAGAACCTTGTCACTTCCCTCAACTTATACCTTGAACTTAATATTGTTTGAGCTATGTGATACCTTACGGAAGTACCTCGCCGCGACAGTTGGGAAGTGGTTCTGTACCTAGTCGTGACTGTATAGTTGTTACGCGGCATCACGATCGTTCAGTCGTTCAAGGCTGAAAGGCATTGCACGCTTTCAGCGTGACGACGTGGCATCCGGTACGACCGCAAGCAGGCTGTAGACTTGATAGCGAAATTGCTCGAAAGCCTATGGTGAAGTCGGCATCGCCCTGTCTTTTCACCAATTTGCCAATGTATATATCTTTTGGTACAGGCAAGCAAGACTCACTGGAAAGTGCCTTTGTGCTTCTGCCCGATATGCTTACTCGCAGCCCCGGGTGCTGTCATGTTGTCGTTCAGCCTAGAACCTAGTTTCTGGATATAATGACAGACTCCACCCATCTAAGCTCTGCATCGCCACTCTCTGTCATAAAAAAGCAACCATCAACATTGCAGTTCACTTCCTAAAACATAATATCATCATCAAGTAATAAGAGTGCCCGAATTACCTCTAAAGCTTGGAATCAATAACTACTGAACAAGTTTAATGTCAATCATTAGATTATGATTCAAACGAAACGAAGTGATCCTTAGACAGCGGGAAATGGTCATGGATTTTATTAATAACTGATGTGATTTTCTAAGAGGCTTGTTGGAGGAATACAACGGCCTTTTCCACAAGAACAAGAGTTCCAATATCCTGTTCTCTCACTCCTTCCAAAGCCTTGCTGTAGCTCGAGCTATGACTTGAAACCTCCCCGACTTCACTCTCATTATTTGCCTCCGAAAGAGTGAACAAATCTGGTAGCAAGCAGATCTTAACGTCTTGACTCAAGCACAGAGTCTCCAGCCTGAGCTCGGACGACCTCCATTTTCTCCACGTCGAATGCTGTACCGGGCCTGAAGAAGAAATACTTGAACCTTTTTGCAGACAGCATAAGCTCAAAATTGACTGTTGGCGCAACACGAAAAGTCGCCTTCATGAAGCCAATAGTGTCCGTGTCTAGTTCGTTGTGACATGAGCGTTGAGTCATATCCTGACTTTCCAGGGGCAAAAAGCAGCTTGTATTTTGCAGCACCGAGCTTGAAAGCTACTCCAAACTATCTGAAAGACACCTCTCCTTAGCATGTTTGACTGATAGGAAGGACTTGATGGAAATAATGTCGAGTTGTTGGAGTGCCTTCCATCCACCTAGTCTTGTTAGATCGACCTCTATCCAATAAGCAAGGTTGAGGGTGAAGAGAATAGAGTGCTTACTTTGAGTCGCGATATGCTTTCAGTACTGGTCCAGGAGTGGTGCTTCAGCAGCCAGAAAGTCCGGAAATACCTTTTCGAGGGCGAGGCTGAATATACCCGCCGTTAGCAGAGAAATTGAAATCAATTTCTTCGGGATAGGTGCTGCCTCACAGTGGCAAAGAATAGAATCGAGATCGCAGCGTTTATCCGTGTAGCCCAATTGTTTCCAAGTGAGAAAGTCCTGTTCGCTGTTTAGGGAGGATGCCATCCTCACTCAAATTGCAAATCGTTCTAGACATATCGTTAATCATCGAGTACAGGTTAGCATGTCGATCCTCAAGGCTGATGTTGATAAACCCAAGCTTGCCTGCTTCCAGTGCCTCGTCGGCTTAGGTGATGTCCAGCTTTCTCGGGACTGAGCTATTCCGTACACTACACCCTCGGTTTATCACTATAGGGCAGACATGGGGACTCACTCAGGGCCACCACTGGGATTACTTGGACGGCATGTGTTATGTGCAGTTGAGACCTGTCGCTAGGAGCGTATTTCCACCACGCTGACATAACCTTGGTATTCCGACGGATTTGCCGGCGACTTCTCCGAGCATGGCTACCTGGTCTGTTAGCGAGTGGTCAGGCTCAGACTTCGATTGGGGGGCGGATCAGGACTACATTGCCAACGTGTCATCGTGCAGTTGGAAGGCCGAGCGTTAGTTAACCCTGTCTCAATCAGATCTCCAGATACGATTAGTGACTCCCATTATAGCGACAGGTAGCTCTCACGATAAGCGACTAGGCAACGTGAGCTGACTTTTCGAAGCTATCCCACTTAGCCATCCAGCTGTCTGTGGCGAAGTGGTGGGCAGCCAATCGGTGTCGAGAAAAGTGGGGGGTGCTACAGCTGAGCGCGCTTTCTCGGCAAGGTCAACAGCAACGGAACGCGCCACGAAACGTCTGTCTGGTCAGCAGTTCATTACCGCAATAGAATGCAACGTCTAGACTCTCCTCCCCTTTTAGACCTCCTACCATCCACAGCTCCACGACGACAATTCTCATCGAATGCTCAACATGACCTCTCAGCAATCCGTCGTGTACAAGCCGAATTGATGAACATCACACCGATTTGCTGTCCGCCGGACCGCGCTGCTGCATAAGCATCCTCATCCTGCTCCTCCACTGCCGCCGTATTGTGTATCGTTGCACCAACTCCTTGGGCGGCCTCGATCTCATCGCTTTCGCATCGCCTGCTTCCCGCCACCGTTGCCGTCCACCTTGGCCTTCTGCTCGATCCGCAGCCAACCCTCGACCGACATATCAACCAATAGCAAGATGATGTTGTCGTCCGCTCTATAGATACTTGACGGAGTTGCTGGTCCAGTGCCTTCGTAGATGACTTATTCCTGGAAGCATGCAATGAATGCTGAATTGGTGAGTTAACAGTGGTACCAGAATTGCGAGAGAGACCCAGTCTCTCTGTTGAACGCCCCACGATACGCCTTCGACTCGTCCATGGAGCTCTGTTACCGTCCACACTCTTCCGACCTCCAGTCCTTTGGACCAACAACCAACAACAAGTTGCTGACGCATCGAGCTCCTCCCTCAACAGGTCACCCACGACGATCGAGACCGAGAAAAATAATGTGATGGTGTCGTGAAGCAGATCCAAACCATCCTCTACCAAATGGACGAGAAGACTCGGGATGTCGCTTGTTGAGAGGGTGGGCATTCGTTTACACCGAGGCTAGAGTCGCCGGCGACATCCCAGTCATCTTCTAGTCGAGGACGTCAATGGGCAATGCGCTCCAGCCGCAGACTCTTACACCTGTCGTGCAAGTACATGCTCAGAGCCGTCAGCACCCACTCACCACCACAACCTTTCATCGCTATGTTGTCTTTGTCAACGCATACAAGTCTTCCCTGTTGGGGGCTCTAGCAGTTCCTGACGTGGGAATATCCATCATGCTGCTTCATGTTAGACAGTGGCATTGAGGGGCATGGCTCGTACGAGAGTTGCAGTCAGCCAGCGGTCGAACAACGAAACTACCGACTCGGGCGTCACCTCTCGCCGTAGACCTCGCCGCCTCTTGGATCGCAAACATGATCAAAGGTCTAGGATGCAACAAACGCTCCTGGATTGCCAAGTGCTCGGGAAAGGAGTCGCTGATCTGGCGAGAATGTTGTCCGAAACTTACAAGGCACAAGGCTAGTACAACTTAGTTACTTTGTCGGTATGTTATACCTGCTCAATACTAGCGACATGGAGGGCGTAGCCTTTACCCACTGGATGTCGCGTCTGTTAGTGGCTTTTCTTATCCGAAATATCACTTGAGCAGTTCTTTCTCATCAGAAGGAATGTTGAAGAAGCGATGCCGGATGAAACGCTCCCTCATGGCCCGATCAGGGACAATTTGGAAGACATTGGGATGCAGCACCAAAGTTGAGGCTCCTCCGGAGAGCGGTTAGCGTCGATGGCGCTGGCCGAGCGACTTCAGGCTAGAGAGACCTTGTCGGCTTAGAAGGAGTATCAGATGCTGAGATTCGGCACCGAGGTATCCCTCCTTTCCATCAACCTCCTCAGCCCTCCCCTTCTCAAGTAGGTACGCGCAACCCAAACTCCAGGCGCTTCACGGTACCATCGCCCTTGAACCCTCAATCGTAACTACGTGCCCAGGCAGAGATTCCTTACCCTTTTTGTAGTAACTTTCCTGTTTACCATAAGCCAGTACCTGCCTGAACCTCGTCCTCGTTTACCCAAATAGCCATGGACTCCAGGCTAGACCGATGCACTATACCCGGGCATTCTTTCCGAAGATTGGCCTCTCGAACCCCCAACACAATGCTTGCGTCGACCACCCTGACAAAAAGGGCGCAGGCAGGTGGCAATCAACCTTGTGTTCAGCGATAGACTTCACCTCGTCTATATTAAATATGTTCAGTTAATCTCTTGTAATATAAGCCATTCGTAGTCCCTGTCTTAACATACCGACTTTGGTAGCAGGCATCTTCCAAGAGGGTGAACCGTTGCGCCGGGCCAAACGAGAATGAGGAAAAGGTCAGCCCCATCCACAGCAATAAAAGGTAAAAAACAACATGATAAGGATCACAAAAAGAAAGATCAGACTACGATGATGCAATCTTATCCTGCTCATATACACAAAACAGAAATGAGAGAGTCGATCAGTAAGTAACAAGATGAGAGAGCCTCTGCAACCCTTGGTAAACGTCTCATGACATAAAGGAAGGAGGAGCACGGTTAATGCGAAGAGCGTAGTTTCTGTCACAAAAGCCAAGCAGCTTCAATCGAGAGCAAATCGAGATCGAAGACATGGGAGCGATGATGACAACAACCATCAAGCGCTACTACGAGAATCCCGATTCCAAGAATCAAGGGACATTCGACTTCCCGAATGCCCGTCGGACGAGATATAAAAAACCACAATAGGCTCAATCGAAGGCGTGCGTAAGAAATTTTTGAACGCGTGAAAGCAGCACGCAGGCGTAGCGCTGCTGCCTGAAAAGTCTGGGTAGTGAAGTCAAGTAGACAGTGCGAGCCAGAAGTACTCTCTCCAGGCATAGATTGGAGAGGTACTCCATACTTGAAGCAAAAAATTGTTGGATCCCGGAGCGTACACCATGATTTGGTTACATACATTTGCCATGAGAAAACATCCTTCATTGAGAACGATCGTTGCAGGAGAAGAAGGTAACTAGGCATTTTCGAGCAATGAATGATTGAAAGCAAAGGAATACCAGAGTAAAGTTACAGGGACACGACTTCTCGTGAAGAAAAGACTACCATCTTCCACCTTTTTTTTCGACCTGCCGCCATTCACTCGCCTGCACCAGTTGCTCAGAATGAAATACCAGTGTTGACTCAGTTAAAGCAGCTAGGTATTGCGCGCATCGCTGCTCAAATCGATGGCACGATTGCAGCTGGCCGCAGGGCCGCCGCTGTGAACTGGGACCTCTACATCTGAATCTTGAGTTTCTATAACAAAATTATTCGAAGTTTGGTCCTGTTGAGACGTGACTCCGCCCACGTTATCGGCTGCGTTTGCAGCCATTCGGATGCCATTCGACTGTGTTGAATTCTCCCTCATACTTTGACGCCAGGTCTCCATCGTGTTCTGCGCGGCTCTGGGAGGAATGCTGTCCAACAGCTCTTCGATACACTCCTTTTGGTTGCGTTTATGCTCCTCTTCGTCCTTTGAGGATTGAAGCCGCTCGAATTTCGAGATCCACTTACGCAAATATTCCAAGTGCGGGTGGGGTACGGTGGTATTTTTATCGGGGACCGGAATTTGCTGGCATGTTTTAAGTTGTGCAGCAAGTCGCTCAAAGCAGCGAACTGTTATCTCTGACGATAGCTCTGGGCGACCTTCCATCTTCTGGGCATTCGGGGGGGATTGCATTTCTCCTTGTGTAGAGTCAGCCTAGCCAGTTGGATAGGTGCGTCTTTATTGTATCAAGCAAAGGAAAATGTTCAGCGATGAGTTTTGGAGTATATGCGATATCGCAATGAAAGTCGCCTTTCTTTGGCATATGTGATAAAAGTGAGAAAAAAGCGACCGGAGAGATGGAAGCGCGGTTGCTTTTCTCCTTTATGGAGACAGCCTGATTGCTTACGCATCACAAGTAGACCAGGGTTTAATTACGAACAATTGCTTGTGAGACAAGGAGAAAGGGATGATAACTGCACGGCTGCGTGTCTGGAACCATGATTGTGAGCAAGCCTCTAAGCCGGATACGGTGAGTGGTAGGGGTGTATGAATCGATACCCATATCAAGAGCTGGTTGTACATGGCTGTAGCTGACCTTCTTGGCTCGGTTAGGAGGCCTCGGGGAGGAGGGAAAGAGTAAGCGGAGCGAAGTTACATGTCTTGCCCCTTTTTGAGACAAAATCAGGGGCGGCTGAGAGGCTGGCGGGGATGCCCTGGCCGCTGGCGAGCGTGGGGAGGGGGAGTGGGTTCGGTAAGGACGGGACGTTCGGATTCCCGTTGGCCCAGCTCGGGAGCCGATCCAACGATAAGACGCTAGTACGGGTAAAGCAATCAACTCACAGTACGGAGTAATAAATGCAAGAGCTATTTACTCCATAGTTAAATAAGACACCATCATTATCATAAATTCACGCTATCACGTGAAAACGCCAGGTCATTTCTTTCTAATCCCTTTACATTTCAACTGTCGGCAGCAAGTGAACAGACAACAGAATGGCTCCTTCTTTGATTTCTCTACCGCCTGAAATGATCTCCATGATACTTTCGGATCTCCTACGGGAAGATGTCCTCCGTGTTCGACTGACGTGCAGATTTCTGATTAGTTTAACATAGCCCCTCTTTGTTCGTTGCTTTTATTCAAATACCTGTTATTCCATGGCTGAGACATGAGCTCTAGTAAAACTCACCACTATTTCAGCGGTTCCTCAACTTGCGGCCACCGCACGGGAGCTCATTATCCAGAGTTTCGCACATTCGCCCTTCCAAAAATTGCGAAATCCCCAGAGGTCACCTCCGTTGGCAGAGCTGGGGGCCAGCTCCGAATTCATCCAGAACGTTACACCATTCACTGTTCTTACTGTAGCAGCTTGTAAGCTACAGTTGATAAAAAGATGGATAAGTCTCGACGAATCTCTTTGCCAGATTCCGGCACCGTCTGATTTCATTACTGAAACTTACAGAGAAACTCCAACCAAGAGATCTACTGGCATACTTGACAACGTCACTATTCCTCAGCTGAGGAGATTCGCTCTCGTGGGTCGGAATGCCAGGAGCGCGAGCTAGAAGACTACCTCATCAGGCATGCGAAGACGCTTAGGGAATTGGATCTTGGGTGCTTAGTGCCAAATGGGGACTAACACCGTCGTCTTGTCGCTCAGACAATCATTGAAAACATGCAAGTAGTTCGTCTGTCCCGTGACAATAAGAGATGGCAGTCGGGAGACGACGGGGACCGTCGTGACGGCTTCGATTGCCCCCAAGGCGTCTGGGCTTAACCTTCCTTACAGGTTGCCTCAACGTCAAGATCTGGGCGGCCAGAGTACCAGTTTGGAGTGGTGCAATGCGGTGTCCAAAAGAAATCTCTACTGGTAAATTGACGCAGCCTAGCTCGAGCATGGCTACGCAATGAAGACAGCGAATACCCCCTTCCTTCCCTCATCACTCCCTAGCTCTGATTTTGTTTTGGATATTTGCCTTCATCTTAGAACTTGTGGACGTTGCAAGTATGTTAGAAGGAAGAGCTGTAAGAACTTTGATGTCCATGCCCGGATCGGTTAAGTGATAGTTATCCTCGAAGAGGCCTAGTCAAAGCTGCATGGTTGTAAATATGACGATTATGTAACATCAATACAGGGGCGAGATAGTACTTAGTAGTGTGCCGGTGTTTAATGCTTAGCTTGCGTCGAATTTTTGATAGCCATAGAGCCTCGAGTTGATCTCTGGATAGATTTGGCTATGGTCAACGAAGAGAACTTCGACAGCGGCCTTCAATACACGTACGGCTTTATTTAGAAGAGGAAACAAAGTGATGAGAAGAAGAAGCTAAGACACTGAACGTCGACGACAGCTGGGTGTTCCAGCTACCCTAGCGTTCATGATCGCGCAATTTTATCTGCCTGACATTTATCACCCAAAGATTTATCAGTTTGTCATCCCAAAATTTACCACCCCACTGTTTATCATCTGAAAATTTATCAACCCGAAATTTTATCCGATCCATATGTAAATTACTCGTCGGTCATCGGTTATCTGCCAAAAACTCATCATCGATCATATACTAGCATAATCCTTACAGCATCTTAATCTTCTATTCCTTATATTCGGTAAATTCTAGTGACGCCGCAATCTTGGCAAATTCCTACTTTACGTGCGCTAGATTCTCTCTGTTTCTCTTGATCTTCTTCTCTATCACGTCTCCCTACTTAGTGCCGGAAAAAATCTCGGCCTCGAGTTTTTTTCGTCCTGTCCTTATATTCATCGCACTTTACTTATATACTTTCCAATGTTTCCTTATGCGACTTTATTTCTACTTCTGATGCTTTCATTATTGACTTGGCATCCGATATGATCTTATTCAGCAGTGTATTTACAGGTTCAGCTTCTTAGCTCAACTACTCGCATGCCGCCGCTCTGTAATCGGTTTCTGACTTCTCAACCTTCCTTGTGAGCTCGTCTGTCGACTTCTGATCCTTTGAGAGCTTTCATTCAACTGAATATCGTTCTTATGTTATTTTCACCAATCGTTTCTTTTGCCGAACAAGGGCTTCTACTTCTCCCAGGTTGATTTTTATTTTCTCTAGGTTTTTTACAAATTCTTATAGGTAGCTCAGGGGAAGTGATGCGACGCCATACTCTCCAGGATCGTCAAGTAGGCCAAATTTCTAAGCGTCGGAATAGCTGTACTCAAATGACGCTTGGCGGCTTATTGGTGGTATTCTAGGACATGCAGCTTCACACAGGGCACGACAAGTTCCGAACCAGGAGGGCCTCCAAGCTATACTACAAAAAGACTGCGAAGATTCTTGGCATCGACTTATGATGTGACACTATTCCCATTCAGCAGAGCCTACAAGACAGCCAGAGTAAAGATACCGCAATTGAACTTATCTTTTCGTTAAGGACATTCCTACCAGATATTAGTACCTAGGACAGAATGATCATTGATGAACCTACGTCCATACTTCTTAGCGGATACTTAAATCTCCAGTAAGCCCAATTACCGGCTATTTTAGTATTCACGACTTCAGGCCATTAACCGGCATCTCGAGCAGAAGAAGAGAATTGTAATGTTTGAGCTGCCCTAGTTGTCTGTCCAGATGGCAAAGGCGACCAGTGGGACCCGACACTGATGAAGAAGATCAGGTTATTTGCAGAGACCGTTCTTCTCTCGGACAATCCGGAATCCTTAAAGGGAAATCCCGGATCGAAAACATGCCATTTAGGAGAGGCCCCCAAAAGCCTTACTCAACGATGTATATCATTGCTTTGGAGGCATTTGTCGTCTCGGAGGCGGGATATGATTTCGCCCACAGGATATCGTGTTGGAGGGGCAGGAAAGCCCTCGTCACTGTCGACAGAAACAGCACGACTGGGTGATGTACTCAGTTTGTCGCTGTGAGAGCCGGACATCGAGTCTTTACTGCTGAGAGGCAATTCATCCGAGCCATCTTGGTCTGGTAGAGGGAGTGTAGGAGCATCTGTGGCCACGTGTTGCGTATGGCTTCCGGTAACATTGCTTTTGTCCCGTTGGAGTTCAGGGCCGCTTTTGGCGACTCCTTTTTTGCTTTGTTTCTCAGGAAAGGATAGTCAAGTCTGTCGAATGTTCTTTGCGTGATTCTAACTTGTCCAGCTTTGTGAATTGCCTTGGCCATAAAGCCGTCGTCCTCCCATATTCGATTGCGAAGCTTGTGGCATCCACCGTCCTACTCGCTGTCGTCAGCCAGGAACAAATATCTGTATTTACTGCAGTGAACTTGGTAGACGACTGCTGGATAGGCATGAACAGACCTGCTATCATGCTTACAGGTATTCTACTCTCATGAATTCTTTGGGCCAGATGGGGAAGAGCGTGCCTATTGTCGAGATTGCTATCGCGAATACTACCGAGATGAAGCATCATCATCTGGATACAATTAATCGCAGATCAGTTCAGACCTACGCTTTCTGTATCATCTCCAAGAAGTCTCGCCATTCGTCGACGACAATCGCCTGGTCTCTCATCCTCTCTGCCGCAGCCTCGAGAACTTTCACCCGATCTACCTTTAGTTGACGGTGAACTCGCTTCTCCATGTTTGAGCGATCGTGACCAGTAACTGATTTCTAATTGGCAATCGGACTTGGATAAGCAGATAATGGAGTATTCCCCTCGATGTTGAGTTCGTTGGTTCAATATCGACCTTTGCAATGGTATCTGTCGTTCTTGCCGCTATCGGGATACTATTCCTTCAGATCGTGGCACGTGCAACCAGCGCAGGGAAGGGGAGCCATATTTCTGGACGTATGAAACAACCTTGACCCCAGAGGCATCCCTGACCACCCCCCCCAGGTAATATAGGTTGAGGAGATATTAATCTCGCGGGTGCATGTACATGTTCAAGTCATGACTTACAGAGGGTAGGGACACGTTATCAGCCTTCTCAAGAATATTGGGCAGGTGTACCGACAACCTGCATTACTGCCACAGAACCTGGATTTCGTTATCCTTCGTCCTCAGAACCAGTCTGCCCAGCCACCTATGATCCATCAGTGGCTTGAGTTCCTACGCACCAACCATCCTGGTTATCGAGATATTGTCGTTGATGAGGGACACTCTAGCCAGCTTCCTGTGGATGGCGATGTCACTGATCAATTGGTCACCGAGTTCATGGATCCAGCCGAAATTGAGGAGTTCATTCAGGATGATACCAGGTGATTTTAAGCACTGGGAGACTGCTGCTGTGCCCAAATTTGTCGCTCAGCAGAGAGGCTTGACATATCTGCGCAGTCGTCTGCAAGGCCAGCAGCCAGGACCTGATGTCCAGCTATAGCCTGCTCCTGGCCATGAACCTCAGCTCGAGATGCCGAATATGCACAGTACATCTCTCAATGAGTTCAATCGTTCTCAGGCCTTGCTCTCACTTGCTTTCCCTGCCCTATTTCCTACTGGACAAGGTGACTTTGTCGAACCACGACAGCGAGGCATTAAATACGGTGACTATATTGAGCGGCTGATGAAGTTCCACGATGGACGCTTCCCACGACGGCCTCGCTTTCCATACGTCGCTTTTGATACCCTCATGCGCCAACAGGTTAACCAAAGAAGCTCTTTCTTTATCAAGAAAGATGGTCGCCGCACTGAAGTCGACATTGCACACCTGCGGGCAGCATTTGACTCCGATACTCCTGAAGCTAAATCGCTTCTCAACTCAATCATTCGCTGCTCGAGCAGTCTTCGTGGTACACGTCCATTCTGGGGTGGACGTCGTCATCAGCTTGAAGCCTATGTCCATGGACTAGGATGCCCAGGGATCTTCTTGACCTTTTCTGCTGCTTATCTTCACTGGGAAAGCTTGCAGCTACATATGCCTCGATACGAGGATTGGCAGAATGCTGATAATCATGGTAAGGTTGCCATTGCACGGAAGAACCTGAAAGAGAATCCGCATATTGCAGCTCATCACTTTCATATGCGATGTACATCCTTCCTTAAACATGTCATCAAGCCCAATTCAACGTAAGTGAATCTTGGTTTCGGTATGAGTGGCAGGCACGAGGAAGTACCCATTCGCATGGTCTCTTGTGGATCAAGAATGCGCCGACTCTCAACCAAGATCCAGGAGTTCAATTGGAGAGTATCAATAAGGAGTTTCTACGATTCTGGGTAGCTCACATTACTGCCATCAACCCTGGTCGTCAACAGCCTGGGCAGCAACGTGATATCAATCCGCTGATTACTATTTCGCCAAACCCGACCTTTAGAGACTTAGCTGCAGTTGTCAACCGCGTGCAACACCACCAATGTACAGGCGTATACTGTCAACGTCGGAAGCGTATGCAAGATGGAAGTCTATCTGAAGAGACATACTGCCGTTTCTACTTTCCTCGGGCTCTTCATGCTGAACCAAGACCGGCTCGCGATATGAACCCTAACTAGCCCATCTATGATGGACCTCGCAACGATATACAGCTGAACAATTTTAATCGGACTTTGACCATGGCTTAGTTGGCCAACATCGATACGTCTCCGTGTACAAGCCAAGCGGCCGTTATCAACTATGTTGTCAAGTATGTCGGCAAGGCCGCAAAGAAACGCGAGAGCTATAAGGATATTGCCAAGTCTGTTCTACCCCGAGTCAACTCTGCCAGAGGAGTTATTGGTTTCGTTGCCAAGTTCATGAACAGGTTGATTGCTGAGAGAGACTGGTCCGCGCAGGAGATCCAATATCCTCTTCTGAACCTTGATATGGCTCAGGGAACCCGGGTTGTGATTACCGTCGATTGCCGACACCCACGGGATCACTGGACAGTTGACTTCATTGCTGCTGAAGGTGAACAGTCTATTCGTCCTACAAAGAATGTATACCAGAAATACCTTGATCTGCAGCATTCTAGCTATTTTCACCATTGTGTTAAACCCGAAGTGCATTTTCTAACCTTATGACTTACTCATAAACTCAATACCGCCACCACCTTCCGATTGCCCCGAACCTTCTCCAGTCAAACCTTCGTCTCCAGTGGCACCGACATACGTGTCATCACGAAACTTTCTCCAGGTCAAGCTTTTCTCGTGCGTCAGTATCTCTCGACAATTCTGATAGCTGTGCGCCGTACCTGGAACATCCTATGAGCGAATCGCCATCCACATATTGAACACGGACACGATCCAGTCATGATTTTCCCGGAGTAGCTCTCCAGCTGCCTTGATTCTCTTCTTATCCTTCGAGTTCTTCAGGGAAGATAGTGCTGCTTTCTTTTGCCGGGCAACATCGATAATGCCTGGAGGGAATTGAGCTGCTGTACGAGTGACAGTCTCACAGTCGAATAGAGCAAGTTGAATGAGGAATTCGCTGCTCAGCTGATCGAAGTCTCGCATAGGGATATGCTTTGTAGCAGCCCCGCAATCCAGTCTTTTGCAGCTGCCGTCGTCTTTTAGGGTCACCCTGTACGCTACTGCAGCTTGGGGTGTGACTGCAGCCCTATTGGTGTAGTTGTTGACATGGGTTTGGTTGAGATGTTGTTGATAAAAGACTAGTCTTGTCGGTGCGGGAGCCGCCATCTTGAAGATCCGGGGTGTTTGTGGTGTTGAGCTAACCTTTCCTGGCCGAGAGATTGGATACGCCTCCAAGGCCGGCCAAGGAGTCATCATTTAAGTTCTTATCATATCAGCTTTATACTGTAGCCATTGGTTAGTCATCGTGGTATCGATGCCTAAGTTGTGGGCTAGAAGTGTTATTTGCAGTTGAGACTTGTGGCTGTGAGCTTATTCCGGCAGAGAGAACCTAGCTATTTCCACTTTTTCACAAAGGTTGATTACTCCAAACAACCTCAGCAGTGGCGAGAATTCCCGACAGCCTCAGATCGTATCTTGAACTACTTTCCTCGCTATGGCCAGTATAACGAAGACTTTGCTTGCGTGAAGCTGATGCTTCACCACTCTCACTCTCGATTCGAAGAACTTCTTACTGTTAAGGATACTACCTTTGAGACGTATCTTGAAGCTTATCAGCATTCAAGAATCGTGCACCAGGATGTGCACCCACACGACTACTATTCTTCTCCTCAGCTAATCCTCGAAGAGGAGTTTGAAGAGGACCCTGATGATAAAGATGAAGTTCCAGAGCAGTCATGGGAAGCACTTACTGCTGGCGTGCCTCAGGATGAACCAGATGCTGAAGAAGTGCCTATGCTTGGCAATCGACCAATTGATCTCACCTACGACTAGAGTGACAGCATTGGGAAGTTTCCTCAGCTTTGCATTCAAGAGCGCGAGTATGAGAAAAGTCTCCGTGATAACTATTCACAACAGCTCGAGTCATCTGTAGGTTATGATGCCGTGGCCAGTCGCAACCCAGAGCAGCGCCTCGTGTTTGATCTGTTTGTGAACCACATTGACTAGACGCTCAATCCGACTTATAGACCAAATCCCCGTCCTCTCTTGGTGCAGGTTGATGGGCAAGAAGGGACTGGCAAGTCATAACTCAACCATGCCTTGTCCCCTGCTTTGAACAGCCGTCAACGTAACTATGTTGTGTGAGCAGCTCCTACTGGCATCGCAGCAAATGCTATCAATGGTTCAACTCTTCACTCTTTGCTACACCTCCCATTATCCAAGCAGATTACAACAGCGATCTGACTGGAAATGAACTCACCAGCTTACAGGCCAGACTTTCAGGTGTTCGATACATCATACTTGATGAGGAGTCCATGGTAGGACTGAAGATTTTCCACTGCACTGACCGGAGATCACGACAGGTTTTGAAAAGAACCAGCATGAGTATTCCGGCGGCTAAAATGTTCTACTGCTTGGCGACTTCAATCAATTGCCGCCTGTACTTGAGAAGCCTCTCTATGCTACCGGAATGCTAGGATCTGAGATGGAGATCGCTCATCAGAATGCACATAGGACACCTAAACAGAGTGTTAAGCTGGAGCAGGTTGTCACACAGCAAGGTCATGATCAAGCTGCTTTCCACGATGCTCTCCAAGGTCTTTGGACTGGGAGGCCAACAGCTGAACATTGGCGACTCCTCTCTTCACGAGTCCAGTCAAAGCTGACTGAGGACGAGATTGCTACATTTGACAATGTTGCACGCCAGGTCCGTGACTTCAACAGGGATCATATGGAGCGACTAGAGAGTGCTGTTATCAGCATTGAAGCTGCACACTCTAACCCCTTTGGCCACGATGCTGACTCTACTGTCGCTAGCAATTTGCATTAAACTCTCCCAATCTGCATCGGTGCTCTTGTGATGCTTACAGAGAAACTTTGGGCTAAAGTCGGTCTCGTCAATGGCGCAGTTGGCATTGTGAAAGGGATTGCATGGGAGGACCGAACTAGAGGCGTTAATTCTCCTCGACGGACTCCAGAAGTCATTATGGTGCTATTTGAAGGGTATACTGGCCAACCTTATTTCCCTTTCTCCTCGGATAAACTCTTGAGGGATTGGGCCGGTAAACATTCCCCGATGCCCAGCGCAGCTGGGGGATCACAGCCAAGCAGGGAAAGCTGGCCGATGGCCTTATGGTCAAGGCCATCAAGCTGAGTAGTGGGTTGCGATGGTGGGCTGCTCTTTTCAAGCATGGCATACCCACCTTTAGGGCCTTGATGGGTGATTGAGTGGAAATAAGCGTCTCTTTCACCTGATAGATATTGTAGCTGTGTTGTTGATGTAGTCGTGACGGGCAAGCTACGAATAGAATCGACCGATGGCTGTTCATGTGATTGAGGAGCCTGCATCCCGACGAGGGTTTTTAATGATATTGAGTTGGAGAGCTACGATGGGGGACTAGGGCAGTCATTTTATCCCTCGGGGGATGTATTTGGAGTTCTCTTTATGCGTCAGACGTGATTATCATCAGGCAGGCTTGCAAAGTTTGTATTGGGCAATTGTGTTGGGTAGCTGACATACTGCCCGGATTGACTTTGATAAGAGTGTTATTTTGAGTTGATAGCCCGCACAGCTGATGGCTCACATCACGCGCCTCACACAAGTTGCTATCTTTCGCTCAACCCGACGGTGTGTCGTCAGCAACAACCTCTGTTGACGCAAACGGTTTCCTCTGACGATTTCGTACGCCATCGCTGTTCACAGGTCTCAGGGCACTACGCTTGACAAAGCAGTTGTAGATATCTCTGGTAAGATTTTCACTGTCGGGCTTTCTTATGTCGTGGTTTCACGTGTCAAAACAATTACAGGTATCATGTTTGAGACTGCCTTTAATCTCAGCGACATCTCTGCCCATATCGATCCTCAAAGCGACCCTAAGGAGATTGATCGACTCCAACGTCTGCCGCAGATGCTTTATGCATAAATGAATCTTTGAGACCTAATCTTTGTGCAACTCGGCATGAAGGACTTCATTTCATCCAATCTTGAGAAGAAAATCAAGCTACAGCTTTGAACACAATGTATAGGACGTACCACAGCAGCCTTGTCTTATGCCTTCTATATCGGAGGCTGTGAAGACCTATTCATTTCCCCCTTCTCGCTCAATATCTCACCCTTACAAGGTGAGAGAAGTTCACAATTAAACACTGGCGATGAGTATTAGTGCCTTGTATCAGGCCGCCGGCCTCGTTCTAGCAAGGAATAAATGGGACTGTCACGATATTGAAGCATGACCTTTGATGGTATACTTTTAATTCTTAAAGCTGAGTGAAGGTACCCCTTCCACTCCTTTCTCATGACTATGTCTTCTAGGTGTCACTTGGAGGGATAATAAGCTCAGACTTTACCTTAACTACTCTAATTCTTCCTATGTCTGCCTACAGTGTTTAGTGCTGCTCTTCAAACCCCCCCCTTCGTCTGTCAGAAGCCCACGAATGCAAATGCTATGGTACCTTGGTAAATCTAGTAATACACTGCAATGCTTTGATCTCACATAAGAAATTAGAATAGTGACCCAAAAACCAACTGAGAGTACAAAGAAAAAGATCCTCCTTATTGTGACTCAAGTTGGGTCCACGTACCGTGATAAGCGACAAAGAGAGACGACTAAGATAACCTGATTGTAACATTGAGTGACTGTTGGGCCAGCCGGTAGTCAATCCGACCCTCGTCATCATCTCTTACCGCCTTGTGTTCTCTCACACCCTCTTTCTGTTCTGTCTCCCCCCATTGGCGCTCATCGTATTAACCCAAGTGACGGAACTCGTCGACTTACCCGCCTGTAGTGCTGATGCCATTTCATCACGAACTAGATATTCCTGCTCGAATATCAAAGTGTAGAAAAGCCTTGATATCTTTTCATATTGCAGATTATAGCGGTCAACAGACCTACACCAAACCACTACGTTTGTAAGCTGGGCTATCAGTCCATCTCTAAGACCGATGGCTATGCCACCTCGGTAGGATAAAATACCACTAATTGTCTTGAACGACATTGGAAATTTCAGGGATTCAACTCAACATAGAGAATAATTTGTCTGCCTACCCTTTCTTTCCCCAGTAAAAAGGTGGTTTGTGAATACAGTAAGTGACCTCAGCCTATTATGGATGCATGTATGACGCTTCAGGTACCGCGCCAAGGCGACCGCGGCACAGTATGCTCCCGAGGTGAGTGGTGCCCGGATTGACGGCGACGCTTTTCAACCAGATATGGACTCCATGGGGCCAAAGTCCATTAACAGAAGAAGCATATTTCCATTCAATAGCAGCCTAGCCAGGTCCAAAAAGACCTCAATCTATTACGTTACTAGTAGGTCCCAGACAAACGGAACTGAGCCAGATTGCTGGAAGTATATATATATATAGGAAAGGCAATTCCGCAGAGAAACTAATTACGATAATTCTCAGCCATGGCACTAAACCAAATAAGACGCTGATTGGATATCACTGTGCAAGCCTGCTGATATGATGGCCACTCTCCGGCCCCTTGAAGGTATGGAGGAAGGTGCCAATATACAGACACCCTGGTCTACCAAAGTGGTAATAAAGAATGTCGTTGTAATCATGGTGGTGGACTCAAAAGTTTTCTACGGTGTCTGTGTCGAGACTTTGGATGCCATTTCCCCTGACTGGACAAGTTCAGAGTGCCTAATATGGGTTTTTAATGACGGTTCAGGGCCACGCATGTGGCAGGAGACCGCACAGCCATCGCCGTTCAGTTCAGAAGATCCTGAAAGGGATTTCGACCAGATCTTAGGCCATTACGAATCCAATGATGGAGAATGCTACGTGGCAGTGAAGTGGAAAAGTACCCTAGTGCCGACATGGGAGAGAGAGACGAACATGGCATATTGTGCCGGCGCTATCGCGCAATACTTCATCAACCAAAGTCTTGAAGCCTTCCAGGAGTAACATATACTGCACCCAGTTTGTAGCTTTACTGCTTTACCAAAGTATGAACTAACCCTTACTAGGTTCGAACATGTAGGTGGGTTTGTAGGGCGTTCGCTGACCAATGCATTTAGTATCACGTCTGTTAATTGCCAAGTAATGCGGTTTTGGCGCAGTGACGTAAATAAGTTTTGTCGATGGCCGTTTGGGCTGGCATCAATGGAGGTGCTAAATAAATGTGGTATAGTTGCAAAGGATGGCTTATGGATGAGTCTCGAGTCTCGTCGTGAGCTTTGAGGTGGCTCACTATGGGAATCATAAGCGGTCGTGAGACCTTTCGTGACTTCTGAGAATTTATGGGGACCACATGAGACAATAACAGAGATCGTAGCAGGACTGGGAAAGTATCTGAAGAACTGTCTTTTAAAATAAAGGAGCTGGTATGCTCAAACTACACTGTACTACACGATGGTTGGCACTTAGTCAGTACGTCATCAGGGATAATACTTAATTAATGATAGCTATCGCCGCATTTACAATTATTTCCACGGCCACTAATAGGAGACTGTACTGAAATTGGCAGTAGTTGAATTGTGGACATGGAATCATAATATGCAGCTTTGCTGTATGACTTACGTTGACTCCTGGTTCTATCAACTGCTTTTTCCTTCTTCCTTCTTTCCGGAAAAAGCGTCATCTTACGTTTGTGCAGAGCCTCAATAATCCTTGTGGAATAAATGTCAAATGTATCCTGTAGCTCCAGTGTACTGTTCCAGGCTAAGGGCTGAGGTGCAGCAACTCTCTCTGATGTTGTAGACGGAGAGCATCCAATCGAAGTTCAAACACATCAACTAGTGCTAGGATAACCGATCTTATTGGCTTTGGGGGACAATAGGCCAATCGCGCCATACGGAATATCTTGATATGATGCGGAATGCCCGTCTATTTATTTTGAGAAGGTCGTAATATTCCCAATGAGGGCCGGAAGAAAAGCTGACATGGGCACAAGGGGTTATTCCTAAAACGCTGAGCGCGTGCTAGGCACCACGAAACCCCCTAGGCGCAACTGTAAATCTTTCTGGTATCCGTTGCTTGTGAATAGAGGTCATCGTTCCAGTTTTACGTCAAGCTGGGAGAAGAAGGGCGAGGTATAGGTTGCTGAACCCGTGGCACTTCGACACGCGTAGATGTTGTCTTCTGGTCTATGTAAAACAGATCCGCCAGGGGCAGTCAATTTATTGAATGCCCTCAAATCGAAAACAGTTCGCCCTTTGGTAGAGGTGATCTCTGTAGTTGCAGTAGCGGTGGTCTGCGGATTGAGTGTGATTCAGAGAAGATGGTCGCAACCGACAATTGGCTGTAAACATGGCGTCCCCATAGAGGTATCTACCTCTAGAGACACAATTGCTGAAGATCAATGTTCGTACTTCGGGGATTTCACCGGATGTTGTGAGCATGATGCGTGGTTACCCACCTAGAATGGTAGTAGGTCGAGTGATTTTGACTCGGTTGAAGACTTATGGAGGAAGCTCAAAGGTCTCGAAAGAAATAAAAAAGTCGGGAGACTCTTACGATCAGGATGCATTCAGGTTTCACGACTTTGAGTTCGTATAGCCTTGGTTTGACTACGGGGTTCGCTTGCCTGAGAGCTGGGAAGGTCGTAAATAAACCGCGGCGTGCCCAAATATCAAGAATTGCCTCAGTGGGGAACGTGCGATGGGGTCTTACAGGATCTAACTTGCCGTCTGGTACCCCCAACCGATTTTTGTCCGCTGGTAACCTGGAAACTTCAGTTCCATCCTGTCATCCATGCACGACCGTGGACTAAGCTTGTTTTGAGAAGATGAGAGATGAGAAGATACTCTTGCTGTCGCTTTCTGTATTGGCGCCCGAAGGCTTGGGTTTAACATACGCTTTAATCAATGAATACTCCTTCTCAAATTGGACTGGCTTGACTTCTTAGGAACGTCCTTTCAGATATAGTTCTTGTCTGGTGAAGGATAGTATCCATTGATCTTCTTGCTTCGTCATTCCTCTTGCATATTACAACTTTTATTGTCGACATACTTGCATCGGTCGTTCCGGGAGAATTGATATCCATTATGTCGTCATCATTTGCTTTGACCGCAGTGACACTCATCTTGACAGCGTCGGTTGCTTCGGCGATCCCAGCTCAGCCAGATAAAGGAACGCTTTCAGTTGTCTCCGCGGTTTCTGGGACTATCGAATCGATAGAAATGTTCAACTAATGCTCAGCATTACTCGCACTGCTTGATGATGCCTGTCAGCATCGTAGCTATGACCAGTATCGCTTGTTGTCGGATAAGAAACGATATCATGGATACCATTGGAGGACCCAAGGGACAATACAACATTCGCAAGATCAAGGGAATATGTGCTGCTCATGATGGGAGGTACTCAAGTGTACTTGTCGTGAGGTGGTAGACTTTTAGGCTCGGCTAAAAGCCGCGTTGCGAGGACTCTCAATCTCGCCCATGAAGAAGCGCCAGTCCTAGAAGTGGGGAAATAGCCAATCAGAATGCACATCGATACGCTGGCCTTTTCTCGGTAACTTGTTCCCAGAAATGCCAGAAAGCACCGTTTTGGACTTTGAGTGAGAGGATACTGGAGCATCGGCGCAGGAGCTTTCAAGTTGACCCTGAACCGAATGTATGCTCAATCGTAGCTGTTGTATCTTCCTTGCGGAAAAGCCTAGATTACGCACCGTCACCCTGAAAGACTGAGCAACCTGTTTCCAATCTGACTCTGAGGTGGACGCGATAGTGCCTTGGGGAATTCTACTATGTTCAAGTAGTTCATTTCGGTAACACTTTGCTCCTGCTCCTGGCATTAGCGTCTTTGATACTCCAAGACCAAACAATGCACTCACACCTCGATTCTCCACTCGGAGATTCCCTTTCGGATGTTGCCTGCAAAGTCTTCGTCTATGTTCAGGCCACCCTGCACTATATCATCACGACATATAGTTTTTTTGCGGCCGGTGATATCAAGGTACGATTTACAGTCGCGTTTCCAATAACCAAACCAGACCCTTCATGTTTGTACCCCCTAGTGATAGCGGGTCCCAGGAGAGACATCTCGAGAATGGTTACTGGATGTATAGTCGCTTCTATGGATCGTTGAAGAGTGACCAATACGTATTTCCTATAGGCTCAGTAAGGCTATATCAACTATCAAAATTGACCAGCACTCTGACTCATACTGCCCAGGAGGAGCCAGAGCGACTCGACATATTCCATAAGTGTTTTCTCGTGGTACGAGGCATGCCATTTAGTGCTCCTATTGCGCGACATTCGCCCAAAATCATGAATCTTGGCTCAGGAGCAGGTATTTGACCTTGTAATTTGGCTGGAAAGTCCGTTCATCTTCTGAAAGGTCAGGATAATAGCAATTGACTCACATTGGAAAGTTACTTGTTTGAAGCCCAAATTATGGCCATAGACTTTGAATTAGGTTCAGCCCGCCTTACAAGAGCCTTGAAATATCAGTTTTGTGGATGGCCCATTGGTATGCTTCAGGATCCCAAGAGGATTGACTTCAAAACGATTTAACATAGAAGAACCCACCTAGGCTTCATTGTTGACGGACTGTGATTTGATCCCTATGAGCATGTTACTCGGAAGCATAAAGGCGAATTGATGGCCAAAAATTCGTGGCAATAACTTCGAGTAAGTCTTGCGCTGAAAGCTTGGCTGGGGCTGACATATGAGACGTCATTAAGCTCCAGGCTATGGCTACATTGAACATGTAAAGATTGACTAGACCCTAGGTGGCAAGACTATGGCCAGCCTGAAAGCTCATCTCTTCAAAAATGGTCGGAGCTGTTTTTATCCATTATGGACAAGCTCAATCGTAGTGCCAGAATTGTACCTGCGAAAACACAGCAATTGATCGAGGCTGCGGGATTCACTGATTTTAAAGACGAGGTCATTGAAGCCTTTCTCTGTACCTGCACTAGTGATTCGTACGAACAGAACGTCGCTCGCTAGTTCAATATCGCCTTGAGCCGCAACTTTGAATCGCTGAGCATGATGCCGCTGACAGAGGAACAGAGATTGACTTTGGAAGAAGTGCGCAAACCCTTCGCCTGTGCTAGAAAGGAGATCTATGATGTCCAGAATCACGCATTTTGCAACATGTAAGCTTTTGAGTCGGTCTGTCCCCCAAGCTGAATCGCAATACTATTGTGTTTCAGACATGTATGGGCGGCACGAAAGCAGGAGGGCAGTTTTTCCATTGTTGCGAAAAGGGCTCGCATTAAACTACATCATATCTTGTGACTTACAGTTCTCTGGCTAGTCAGAATGGAAGGTTTTGTTCAATTCTAAGTCAGTCATATCGACACTGGCATTGCCATCGCTGCCAAGGCAGCCGCAGCAGTTGACATTGGCTCCGCGAGCAGGAGAAAGAGGTGGGTCGAGCACATCCATGCCCTCCGTATGGGTCCAATTACTGGGTATGAGTGGGGCTGATTCGGAGCGGCCGCCGAATGTAAAACCGCACTGATCCCCATGATCAAGTCAAATCCTCTTTCAGCTTTTCTATCGTTCTCCCGACATCATTTAGGAGGACCCTTGGCTTCGGGACTTATGAGTCTTTTAACGGTAGCTTTTTTCTTCCTCTACTCTTCACGGCATGCCCCTGAAAACGCAAAGGTAGAATCGCGCTTGCTCGAGGATCGATGCTTAGGATGAGCATATGGGGGCACTAGATGCTGGTACAGAACATCAATGAGACCTCAAAAGTCATCACCTTGTTTCCCATCTCTTTTGGTCTTTTAGGGCCAGCTTTATGTGAATAGATCCCTCATAGATATCAATTGTCATCAGTCACCGACTATGATGACGAATAGAAAGGGTGTATAAGAAAGAATACGCAATCTTGAAAGGCGGTAAATCACCTTGATGATTACCTATCTCGTGTAGGAAAAATCAATCTCAGCAATTCAATTGGAAACTTACGGTCCACGTGCTGGCGTGGCCACCCCATCAGCCTCTGAACCTTCTTATGGTCAGTTGTTGTCCCGTGCAGCTTGGTTCCCAGCTCGAATTCAGAATAGTTCATGAAAGACATGCTTCCCACTCCTTGAACTATTGTACCCAGTACTCTTCCCCTCCTTTCTGTGCAATCTAGGCAAGACTCGCCTCCAGATTGTTATGTCCAGCCCCAGTACTCGCTTCTAACTCACACGGCCCCTTAATAGTCTTCCAAGCAGCTTGGTAGTCAAAAGTTAATTGAGCTGTTTCAGTGTACCGAACGATCAGCGAAGAAAAAGGCAAGGCTCAAGTCTTCCTACAGGCCCAGCTTCTCATAGAGGCACAGAAAACGAATACTCTCATCAGTGCCTGAGACAGCAACCGCGAGAGCACTGCCTGAGTGTCTCAGGATTTTGTAATAGCTTACCGTTGATGGAATCAAAGGCGCTGAGGGGACGCAAAGGGCCCTCAAAGTCTATATCGATTGAGATATAAGTAGAGCAGCGGTTGGGGAAAGTCCAAGCTAAATTAACAATACAGTCACATTTAAAGCCGAAAGCAGGTCGGGAACGATAGCTGATAAACTACACTCGATTTGATTTGAAGAAGAAAGGCGAAAGATGTTTTGAGCTGGATGAGCAGTCTTATAAAATGGTTGAATGATGATTTAGAAAGGAGTTTGAGGGACAAAAAATGTAAGACCGCCCTCAGGTACAGTGCTAGGCAAGACAGCAGGATGAACCCTTTGAATAATGTAGTGTATGTATCTCTTGCTCTTTTTTTATGGCCAGCTTAAATGCAACTCGTATGTTGTCGACAAAGTAGACAACCAACGACATCACACCGTGTTTGCGAATTGCCACTTCCAAACCGACGGATTGTATGTCAAAGATCATATGAGGATAAGACTAGACTAACTATAGATAGAGCGCTTGTGGACGTGTAAAAGTGGCGTTTTAGAAAATATAATGCCTCGCCGGACTCCGGAGGCATGTCTAGTAACCCCATATAGTCACTACTACTGGCGATACTCACTGCCTCATGGCCGATAAGTTGATTAACTATAAGCAGGCTATCATCATGGCCTGGATGATGGGCTGACGCGCAACAGTCTATTGATTGATTGGTTGGAAAAGTTGATGGATGGTTTGTGAAGAAGCTGACTACTAGGCACCGCGTCTTTCTAACAGCAGTTGGGGCATGGCTAAGCTAGTAATCGAATGTACCGTCTGGAAAGAGCTAGTTCTACAGACAATAAGGAAGGGGCATAACGCAGCAAGTCAAAGTAGCTGCGAAACATCAAACCAGCTTAACCAAGTAATATCAACCATTTTTACGAATGAAGATTGATTTGCAGGATGCTGCTGCCGTTTCGAGGAAAAGGTGTCTGAAGTGGCGGCCCTCTACGGAGCTCTCTAAAGCTGCCTCCAAAAGGTTATCGCATTCTGCACGTACCCTCTGCATGTGCTCGATTTTGTCATCTCCCTCGTTGGACGGATTCAGAGTTGCAACGAGACTCCAATCCATTGCTTCCAATAACTCGATTTCTTCATCTTCTCGCCATGCCTGATCTAAAATTGCGTCCGTCTGAGGTGCTTCATCCAAAGGTTCATTCATGTCCGCATCCTGAGCCTCGTCCGCTACAAATGAGAAATCATCATCTAAAGTGCTCCTTTTTCCGGAGCCTTGGTCGGTGCTCAACACTTGATCACTAGAAAAGGTGTGTGTATCGCCTTCCGCCAGTTTCTTGGTTTATAATAGGGGTGTCATTAAGGCCAGAAACTGTAGATGGTCGGCGATGTGATCCAGCATCATGGAGCTCTCTGCCTGAGTTGCAGTCTTTCTGTCAGCTCTGGCTAGTGTTGTTGGCTCTGAAATATCGAATCGTACCGTCTTTGAGACCCTTTTGTTTCCAGAAGGAGTCCTTGTCTTCGGTGGTGATGTTTCTGACTCTAAGGCATGGAGAATGCTAGGTTTGAGATTTGTAAATTCGGCAAGCGGAAGGCAACAAAGGGGGAAGGTAACCATGGCGTTGACAGTATCTGATGAATTTTGGGAATCAACCTCCAGACTTTGAAGCCACATACCATCATGACACTGCATAGTATGTCCTTTCCAGGCCGTCCGACTGGCAAAGGTTGGAGATCCCATGCATGTGCTTGAAACGCACACGACGGGTACCAAGTCATCATTTACGTGGGATCTGTTCCAGGTCAGTAACTGAACATGTGGCTCTCCAGACCAACTTGCCTCCACCACGTATTATCTATGAAGTCATCCTTGAGAAAGATCTGTCAGCAGAGAGGGCAAGGCTTTTGGAGTTCTCCATCTTCGAACTTGGGCGGGCTGGGGCACTTTGCTCCGGTCTGCAAAGCGGTGGATGCACCAGCTCGCTTTCGAGTCGATATTTTGGCCTCGGCGGGTGGGATGGTGAATTGGGATCCCAGCTCCGATGCCCGAGTCCCAGATAGAAAGGAAGAGCCAGCACTGACCCTCCTTTCTCCAGGTATTGGCGGTGCTGTGTCCTCGTCTCTTGCTGACTGCCGTGGCAGTGGTGGTGCTTTGGTGGGTAACGGTGACGGTTCTCGTGGTGTTTGGATAGAGTCATCTCGTCGTTGTTTATCGCGGCGACGATCTGCGCCGAGTTTCTTGTCATGAGACTGCCAGTACAAGAGCTTCGTATGTCTCTGTGTCATCGAATTGCTCAAGTATCTGCGGAGGCTGTCAGAGTCTCTCGGATACAGGCAACTCACGGCGATTGTCGCCCTGGTCTCATAAGAAGAGACCTCGGAAGGCTTCCTTGCCCCGAATGCCTTGACTCGCGCGTCGAGAGAGGAGGTGGAAGACTGTCGGATGTGGATAGCAAGACGGTCAAGCTCGCTGATTGACCTCTGGATGCTCTCAGCCTCGATCTTCCATCTATCCACCCCATCATCCGAGGATTCATCTGAACTTGGCTCACTGGGCTCGGTCGTTGCTATATTCGGTAAGCTGGCATCCTCTTGAAAACCTATCATCTAGTGCTTCCTCTGAGCGAGGCTCACGTTGAGCATGTCCAGCACTAGGAGAACAAGGTCGCGATATTGAGGGTGACGCTCAAGGCGATGGTCAAGCCTTGTATCGTCCCCAGCAAAGACGCCGCGATAAGCGGCCCAGTCGAGGAATCTCTTCTCAAACTTCCGCAAGGTGCTTTCATATTTTTTTGTCTTTGCCTTCACCGAGCCGCTGCAGTGTATTGTAGAAGTTGGAAGCGCAGGTAGAAGCCAGAGTTGAGATGGCGCCCTCTGGTACCTCCACTTTCAGGTCAAAGCCCTTAGGCTCCGGGGTTGCATCGAGGCTCGCCATAGTCGGCCGCCTGCAAGAACCTGAGAATACCTCACGAGTCTTGGCTGGTGAGTTGCACGATCCTCGATGTTGTCCGAGTGCTGTTAAGCTGCTTGTCGATGGGATGGCTAATCGATCGGCTTAGGTGGAGAGGGCCATTTTTAGTGGCACCAGATGTCCAACGGGCCAATGGCCGACCGGTAAAGCTGACTGTGAAGCTGATAAAGCACAGGTAGCTTGGGAACTTTCAACTCAAGAATATTGCCAATACTCAATGCACCAGCATGGCAAAACCTAGGGATTTAAAATCTAGTCCACTTCTTCCGATTCTAAGACTGAGCTCCCAGAAGACTTCACGATCCGCGCACAACTGGGTGATGGAGTTCGGAAGGTACTTGACCGCTAATAATTCTTGACTAGCCCCTCAACTGACCCCGATTGTGGCGGTGCGGCTGATTGATGACAGTCAAGGCCGAATCCCTTTCTGTTTAACCAACAAATGCTTCTCAAGATTGATCGTTGCCTCTTTGGCCAATATCTAGTCTAGTCTACATCGCAGCAGAGTGGCACCGTCGCTCGCTCTAGAGCCCAAGCTACGCTCCCCCTTTCTCCTGGCTCAACCGGTTTCACGCCAAAATTCGACCACAGCCTTATCGCAGCCTTGCCCCCAAGACCGCAGCTAACGACATCCATCAATCACCCAAAGCGGAAGCCAGATGTTCCTCCACTGGTATACGACACAACGTATTCTAGCTACCCTTCGCGTTAGTCGTCTAATGGGTCCTCGCGATCCTGGCTGCCAGCATGTTCCTGAGTGGTGCAGCTTCTCGCGGGGGCATTGAGACAACCACTGAGTGGAGATTGATACACGCGCTACGTCAAGATAGCCATCGCTTCAGTAGACCTGGAGGTGTTGCCTTCAGTGGTGGCAGTACGAGAACGCAAGAGCTCCGTAATGCAATCAATTTTCTTGACGTCCAGATTCGCAGGACGTTCACCGTCCTACGACTTGACATGCTGCTGTACCTAGAGTCAGAGGCAGAAGAAGATGCGCCTCAAACAAGCTCAGAGTCGGAAACAGGTGAGGGCTCGGACCAAGACGATACATCTTCACAATCAAGCTTAGAGTCTCAACCGATGTCTCCAACCGACGACCGCTGGGGTTTACCTAGAGATTCATCTTCTCCATCAGCCGCCGAAGCATTGTCTATGCTAAAACGGTTGTGCTTCGTTCTCGAAGCTCGGGCCAACCCTCTTCTAAGCCCTCGCGAGCAGGACGACACTGATCACGCTTCCAATTTCCCACGGCTAACGCGACTCATCGAACAACTGCGGCTCCTATCGCCGTCTACCACCGCTCTAGACCTTATCCCAACACCCAGGACTTCGCCCATGCGGTTCCTTTTCAATATTGCGGAAGGCGAAGCGACAGCAGCTGCCTTTGTAACTTTCACAGACCCCAGCCAGAAGCGGCCCCCCAAAGATACCCGAAAGCAAATGCTCGTAGATGCCGAAAATTTATCAAAACTGCTCCTTTCCTTCAATAGCTTTGTCGATATGCTGTAGATCTCAGCAGGCTCTCTGGATTCCATCGCTACGCGACCTACTGAATACCTGGCCTCGAACGAAGCTTTCTCATCATTTTCTCTGCTCCACAAGTTCCGCCGCCAGGCCGCAACTGCATGCCATGCGGTATCATCGCACTTCGGCTTCTGTAGCCACAAAAAGCATAAGGCCCTGCTGCAACGACCGGGATGGGACGACATTACAAACTATGACACACCAGACAAGTTGGCGAGCCTGCCCGTTCACCTATTCTTTACGGTGTGCTTGCACGAGCAATGGCAGCCTGCCAGAATGTATTTTCTGCAGTAAGTCGGCATCACCCTTCTACTACCTGAGATACTTACGAGAGACAGACCAGAACACTCCAGCAGCTGCATGCAGCGAAAGCTCTGTAGCGCGCTCTGTCATTCCCATAGCAATGACACGGACCTCGAGTTCTACGTCTCAGAGGACTCCAAAACGGCTCGAGACGCAGAAATACCATGTTCCCAAGACGCTGCCTAGAACGCGGATATACGGCGATAGATTCCCGAACCATAGTCTCTGGACCCTAATCGAGCAGGGTCGTTTCGCAAAGGAACAGACCCTGGACTTACTGTACAACACTGATGGAACAGGCGGTGTCATGGAAACCCACGAACGCAAGACTCTGGTCATCAAGCTTGATGTTAGGCTGATGCTTTCCATGGATTCCGATCACGTTTTCGAGACTTGGAATCCAAAGCACATCCGCTTCTTGGGGCCCGTGGAGACACAAAGGCTGTTTGTCTTGGTTCCCAGGAAGAAAGGCAGCTCAAGCCACCGAAAATACCTCTCGCTTTCCAGTCTATACCCCTCCGGCAGCCTCAAGGAGGATGAAGAGGACCTAAAACCCCTGCCCCAGTTCGCTCTGTTGGCCAAGGCTCTGCTGCAAATCGCGTGTGGTGACCGCCTGAGCAAGTTCAAGATCGGTAAGGGTTCTGACCAGGTTTCCATTGATGCATGGAACAGGCTCCGTAGGGTGGTCAACTCATACATCCGACGCTTGACATGTGGACTAGACGTGGATCGGGAGACATTGCCATTGCTACAGGCTGCCCTCGGCTGCCTGGACTTTCATATGGAGTATCAGAACCGCTTGAGGGAGAGCCAGTCAAGACAGAAGATGGAAATTGCATGGAAATTGATGTTTGACACTATTCCCATCAAGATTGATAACAATCTGACTCTGAAGAAGCTGGTTACCCCTAGCACTAACCTTCTCACCCAAGAGGACGCAACACTAGAGCCCTTGCATGTTGAATGCCAAACAGTGGTGCATCAATCCTCTGTCGTTGCTACTGCCACCTCTTCCCAAACCTCCTCGAGCACGACTATAATGGAAAAGACTCTTACAAGACAGCTTTCGGTCCGGCGTATTGAGCCGAGTCAACCCAATGTTGAGCTTTTCGACGCAAAACAAGACCCAGCATACTCAACGTAAGCGCCTCCCGAAGGACATTTCCGTATTTTTATCGCTGACATTTCATACACCCCAAAGCGCGAACGAGTTCTGGACACGTCTCGAAACATTTCACAGGTCATATTCACGCTTTGTCACTCATCGCAACGCAGTGTCAGGGAGCGGCTCACCACGGCGAATTCGCATCGCAGTCATTGACACCGGGATTGACTTCAACCACGCCGGAATCATGGAGGCTAAGGAGCAGGGACGCATGGAAGGAGCAGTGGTGCCAGAGCTGGGTTGGCGCGGACGCGAAAGACGAAGATAATGAACTACACTGAACGAACTGCGCCTACCTTCTTCATAGAGCTGCCCCGGAGGCGGATATCTATGTTGCCAAAGTGTTCAAGCAGAACGCTTTGAGGTTTTACGAAGCCGAGAACATAGCCAAGGTAGGACAGCCCAGAATTGGGTCTGGAGGAGTTGCTATGCTAACGCTTGCAACGTGGCAGGCCATTGAACACGCAGCAAGCACTTGGAACGTAGACATAGTCTCCTTGTCCTTCGGCCTCAGACAACCAGCAGCTCGAGACGACGGAGACGAAACCGAAGAACAGTCAGCCCATGATAAGTACCACAAGATCGTCGACGAGATCGAAACCGCAATCCGAGATGCCTCTCAGCCGGGGCGACCCCGACTGATATTCGCAGCGGCCTCTAACAGTGGCAAAAACGATCCCCGGGCGTTCCCAGCGAACAATAATCGTTGGGCATTTGCGTTCATGCCTCGAAGGGAAACGGTGAAGATGGCGGAATTAACCCTGAAATACAGAGCGGCTTCAACTTTATGACGCTCGGGAATGGGCTTGGAACTTATGGAGAGGGAGAATTTCGTGAAGAACGGGAGGGCACGCTCAAGGTTCAACCGCGTGATCAAGTCCGGGACGTCATTTGCAACACCCATCGCCGCGGGCATCGCTGCCACAGTCCTTGACCTCGCGTCTCGCGTAGACGCTATTAATCCTCGGGCGAAGATAAAGCTCAAAAGGCCTGAAGGAATGGAAAAGATGTTGATGCTAATGTCGACGCCGACGCCAATGGGTCCTGGGGGATCGGCTGTATTATATGGCGCCCTGGCATCACTGGAAGAGTGGCTGGGAGACGGACGCGTCTAGGAGTAGATGGGTCTGGGACACGATCAACTTGGAAATTGATTAGAAAATTATAGACAATCACATGACTGCATTGTAGATGAGACGAGCTAGACCTCATTCAACATAAGCAGCTATACTTCAAGGCAAGATCCAAGTAACAGGGTCTGCTTCCCCCAATTGGCTCTCGTCGACGATGTTCTGTCCAGCCGCATCATCAACTTCATCGCCTACGTACCGCAGCCCATCCAGAACGCCCTCGATCATCTCCTTGAATCGCCAAGCGTCGCCCCAACAGTATCCTCCGCCTCACGTCTCATGCCGTCCCTGCCCCACCAGAACTTGCGCACCCGGATGCCGAGGATGAACGGCGTCGCCCCGTCAAAGCTCGACGAGAAGCTCTTCTCGCCCTCATACGCTCCACTCGCGCCGCCTGTGGTTACCGAGTGCGGGTCGGTCGCCGCAGCCTGCCCGCTGGCCTTGCTCTGCGAAGACTGCACTTTGGAAAGCTTGGCGCCCTCGGTCTACATCAGCCCGGTGACAAGGTATACGGGCTTCCTGCGCTTGTTGGCGTGGATATACAGGGCGACATTGTCGATCTCGAGCGCCTTCTTCATGTACTCGGGCGTGGGGATGAAGTACTGCACGAGGAGCCTCTTGACAGTGAGGGTCTCGTCGTTCTCGCGCTTGCGCAAGACAGAGAACATGGCGCCTAGGCCGTCGCTGGCAAAAACTTTGGCCCATATGCTGCCCTCAACGCTGCGCGGCTCCCTCAGGTTGCGGCTGAAGCCCGTCTTCTCAGAAATCGGCTTCAGTTGTGCATCAGGGATCTCGACGGTATCGCCGGCATCGAGCGGGGAATAGACGCTATTGAAGTCGATACCGCGCAGCACCGAACCCAATTCAAGATGGCCGTCGGGCTGCGGCGGGATGTGGAAATCGAGACATAGATGGAAAGAAGGTTGGAAGCTGAAGGAGGCCGATTTGATCATGCCCGGCTAGTGGGGTCTGGCGAACAGCCGAGGCCCTACGGATCATTGTTGATCCACGGTGTCCCACTTCGCCAAGGGCAAAGACAATGACCAGCTGTCCCAAAAAAAAATCTCCACTTTTCTCTCTCCCCTCCTCCCTCTCAAAAAATAAATAATGCAAGAGGTTCTAGGGTAAGGGTTTGGGCAACGCATAGTCTCTGTTCCTCTGAGCCTTTGCGCTTTTGCGATAAGGCTTGACAGCGAGCACAAGCATAAATTCTCTGAACTTCTTATCCATATACAATTCAATACGTAATTAGACGAAAGTTGTTGATGAATTCTCGCTACGGAGTACATCCTTGTGAAACGCCACACTAGACAACATCTGGCACAAGATCATGAGCCATGCTAGCTTCTCGTTAAACAGACAATCACACTAGCACACGGCCCGCTCCCAGCGTCATTTGATGATGATCATAGATCACGTGATGAAGTTACAGCTAAAACGTAGCGCGTGAAGACGATAAAGTTATACTCCCCATATCATTTAGATATAGGTGGAGCTGCTGTGTAAGCCATACGCCCCAATCAAAAACGTCCGTGCGGTATAAATGAAAGAGAGTGTAAAATGGACAACAGATTTCGATCTTTACTACACTTAAGCGTGAACTGTTCAATAGTAGTCGGTAATTAATTCACTATAGGCATATATTGTTGTACTCAGAGCTTCTCAGAGTGACTGTCCGATAATGTCCTTGGGCGTGACACTTTGGCTGTTTCATGCCTTTGTCTTTTACGAAGTGCTTTTTCGACATCATGGCTCCGTTTGAAGATCCGCAGCTAAAAATAGAGGCTAAATCAGCCGATGGCATGCCATCCATTTACTCTTTTCTGACAACATACGTCTTGCCGCTTGTATACAAGCCAGCTCGACTTCAAGCCCAACGTTGTCCGAAAGCTCAAGGGTCTGCTGTATTGTCATCCAGCTATTTTTTAAACGGCTCAAGTCAGATTCTAGGGACTCAACCTCTTGATTCAGGTCTTCGATTAACTGCTTATCGTTCTCGAAAACCATAGGAAAGTTGGATGCCAGGAGATATTCCAGGTCAAACGGCTCATTGGAGTATAAACTCGAAGTTGGACGACCGATATCACCCATGTCGCCTATCGTATCGCAATCATAATCCAAAGTTGTTGGGACTAAGAGAAGCACTGGCATATATAACTTCAGCCGCCTCCTTCATGATGCTGAGTTGACGATGGCCCCTCCACTTCGAAGAAAACGCCCATTTTGCCTTGCGAGTTCGCAGGTCCCCAGACATGCCGCCATTCCATTTCATGTCGAGAAGCATCCTAATACAGATTTTTATGCCTGCTATAATACTAAAATCAATGAACGAAAGTGGATTGGTCAAAATCGAGCGCTGGCAATTCGCCAGCTAGTCACTGTTCAAAGGCTGCCAGCGACTTCGAGAGCATCGTTCACTGATATTGGGAAGCTTAACCGAATTTCACATGAGAATGTTGTGAGACCCGACTCCTTTTATCATGCCGACGGTGAACTCTATATTGTCTACGAATTCTTGTATCTAGACATATTTGATCTATTTCCTCTACAAGAGGCGGCTGTAGCGTGTATAATGAAACAGGTAAGCTCTACAAAGATCGTATACTGGCTTTACTAACCTTGACAAGACTATTTGCGGCTTTCATCACCTAAAAGATCTTAAAATTCTTTGTGGTATCGATTTGATTCAGATAAATGAATACGGTGTAGTCAAAATAGGTAGAGTGACCCATGTTAAACTATCAGGGCTCGCGTTAACAACTAGGAGTGATCGATTGGAATCAAGACATATTCTCGGTTGAGGGCCCACTATATCGCGCAAATGAGGAGTATTTAGTTGCGTATTTACAAGAGTTGATGACGGCCATGGCTCAGCGTTGTGATGATCTACCCAAGACAGCACATCACTTCTTCACAGGCAGTATATTGCCGGAGATGGGCGTGAGTAAACTTTATCAACTAAGTACGACGCTAACAGTCGCCAGCATACTTTCATTAGCAATGTTGGCGGCCCCAAGGTTCTTAGAGAGCGCGTTATATCTGCGATACATAGAAAGCTGCTAGGTGGGGGGATTAAACCCTCCACATACGGCCCATCTTTCTAGCAAGGTTTGATGGTAAGACTGCCGTTATGTATAATAGCAAAAGGCCAATGGCTAACACTCCCTAAGCCGCCTATGAGCCAGCGGCTATCCAGGTCGACTAGTCTTTTTGCATACATAATGATGAACACTTTGAGCGTCCACATGTCTAATATTCTTTAATAAGTTCAAGGAGGCGTGCATCATAATCGGGAAATAGCTAACGTTTTATTCTGGCCTCAATCCAATCGAGCATTCGTTTGGTCCCGAGAACCCTGATCATGAAGAGATGTTTAGCGATTGTAGGCCTCATTCAAAGAGATTTCTAGTCGTGTCTCAAATTGCAGGTATTTGTAGTTGGGCAGGATATGTAAGTTGCGTAATGGCATTGCAAAAGGGCAGAATAAACGGGTTTACATGGTGAAGCTAGAAATGAAGCTGCCTCGTTTCATGGCTTACGATTATGTACTGGGTGCCTTCTTGCGTTAAACTAGATGGTTCGTAGCAACACAATATTAATGTCAAGCTGAGATTTCTAGCTAGATACCCTAACCATGAAACTTTTTTCAGGTCCTTGAGACAGGAGAGACAAAGAGGCTGGAAGTATATTTTTTGATTTGGTGGACCGCCGTAATGCTTGTTTGGAGTAAGTATCTCTATATCCTAGTCGGGGTGAATCTGTTCGAGGCCTAGTCCCTCATCCAAGGTCAAGTCGCATACCTTCTTGTACCCACCTTACATCCGTGATTGGTATTCTTATCCTAGTGATAAATAAAGTATTTGATCACACATACATCTCGTACTTGTGTATGTGGAAATACATTAGGGCATATTGACGCCGCGCGACCGACATAGACGATACGATTATGCCGCTATCATCCGACAATGCGAAGCAAAAGATTTAAGGGCCTTTTGTCCTATGAAAGCCATACTATCAGCACACTCTATCCCATTGCGACTCATGATGGCTAGCACGTCTGCAGTATTAACGAATGTGGTACTATCCCTTATGAATCTCGTTTGTAGGCCGGTTTTGTGTGGTGAATGATGACCCGTCTGCTTCAAAATTCACAATATTCATAAGAACTCTTGATATTGTGCAGAGAACTGATTCGAGAGTTTGTCTGTAGAGAAAGCTGATTGTAACTCGAAAGCTATCTTGTAGGTTTCCTGGCAACCTAACTTGAGTAACTAAGACCTACAAAATAAGCTCATTAAGTGTCCAGCCAGATTGTTCCAAGATGTCTTGCGACTCTTTAATGTCCTTAGCACATATGGTTCTATGATGTTCTCGCCTATTTTGAAGGAAGCCTTTCGTCTTTATCCCCCTTACCGAGCGTCTTTTCAAGCCAGCTTATTGTGCCATTCTTTATTCCTAATGCTCTTTGTCCAAGAGCATGTCGATGGTTTGCTGAAGTGTTGTCCTCAGAGGAATCGAAATAACTTTTTGCCGTTTCATCTTTGCCAAAAAGAGCTTCTGGGGGACTTTTTATTGTACCAGAATTAACACCGATGGCTTTGGTAGGATAGTCGGAGCCAATGATGACTGGAAGGCCTTCCCCTGAACCACAGCCTGCAATCTTCTGTGGCGTAGGATCATTGTAGAGCGGGATGCGGCCCTGCGCACCACAAAACAAAGCGTCCGTTTGGCTTTCAATGCAGTGATTGAATTGGTTATGAGTGGCCTGTGACTGATACATCTGCTTGTTGTCCCAGTGACAGTATCTACTGTCAACACTTCCCGTCGAGGATGAAAGGGGGTCAAACAGTCGCTTGACCCCCCTAGCAGATGCCATGCTGGATTTTGATGAAGATCTTGGGTGGGCAGACCGGTGTGTATCTGTTGGGGACAATATAACCTGCTTTGCATCCTGCTCTAAAAGGGCTCGTGCTATCTTGCCCCCTTCCTTCCGTTTTTCCTTCTTGAGCTGGAGGATGGCCATAAGATGACCGATGTCAAACCTTGGCGATGAATAAACTGTACGAAACTTGGAATGTCTTTTGCTATCTTTGACGAGTCTGGGGGATTGCCTGTTCTCCAGTCCGCCATCATGATAAAGGTAATCCATAAGAAGCAATTAAAAAGGGTCCGACGATGACCTCAGTTAGCTTTAATTCCGAGAGTTATGATAAGTTAAGGAGAAGATGTATAAAGAAATAGCCGCTGAGATGAGATGGGAAATAATAAGCTTGCTTCAATGACAACGTGAAATCTAGAAATAGGAGGGTATTTGCAATCAAGATTGCTGCGGGATAAAACGACGTGGAACGACCTTTCACATCCACCAGGGCTTCAATTAGAAATCCAAAACTGGACTTCAAGAAAAATGCCAATGCCATGTTCAATTCAAGCCGTAGCTTGACAACGTCAGTCTCATAATCCTTAGCAAGGGGCTTAGCGGCGATGCTGCATACTGTGTTATACTGTAATGCGAAACATGTGTGTCGAAGTTGCAGCCAAACTATAAAGCTTTTCCTCAGCCATTGCCCAGTCGATGTCGAACTTATCAAATCACTTCGCCAGATCTCATTTTCTGCAGTCAGTGCTACTCCAAGGCAGAATTCGTCGCTGAAAGAAAATTCGTAATAGAAAAAAATATAAGAAGTTAACCTAATAGCAATATACTCGACTCTGATTATTTGCATTCGATTACCGCTAGCTAGGACGTTCTTTGTGAATGACGCATGCCTATAGCTTCCAGTCTCCGTCACCTTTTTGGTCCTCTCTTTGTGCCCTTAACGGGCTGTTCTTCCAGAGAATAGATAAAATAGAGTAGTTCTACTTTCTTCTGCATGTCGTAGGTTATCATTGATTGGTAATCGCTACGAGAGGTTGGGTTACGCTGGGGATTGTCCGCAATTCCAAACTACCCGCTGGTGTGGATGAATATAATAAACTTGGGGGGTGGCAACGAGTTCCTAAGGCAGTAATAATCCTTGTCATAGGATCAGCTATTGTTCCACTTCCATTCTTAAAGGCTATGTGTCGATTCCACAACCCCTTATCCACTACGACCATTTCAGCCCTAGGACACCGGGCCGAAGTCCTGATCTAGCTTCTAGGCAGCCCCTTATTCCCGCGGATCTGGGGCCTTTCTGCCAAGTGCCATATCGCGCCTGAAGGTTTCGAGTACCGTCTATCTGACACGAACTCGTACACGTGGGGTTGGATAGGCGAACACAACGTTGTAACCGCCTTAGTTTCTGTAAGTGTCTATGGTATCACATTTGCCGCAACTACCGCATCAAACTTGATTGGTCTGTGACCTCATATTTGGATCGATCTGTTGGTGGGCATTGGTGAAAGAATCGTTCCACCTGACCCAGACCACGACATCCGATTAGGTGGTGTCGTCGTTAGCAGGCCCGACGGCAAGGCCGGAGGAGTATTGCAACATGACTTTGGAAATGCGAAAGCGAACGGTGCATTATGTAGTCGCACATCTTACCTCAAGCCATCAACTTTTAGCTCAACTGCTTCGTTTCTGGTAAATAATCGTACAATCTTTCTGTCTAAACATGCAAGTATTACTGACGTGATTAAAGGGAATTGATGGTCTTTTGTGTCGCCTCAAGCTGTCTCACCCGAATGTAATCAAGCAGCCCTACCGCAAATGTTGCTGACTTAGCCGCCGCATGTCGCTGCCACCGATCGTTCTTGTGTGAATCCGCATAATCACAGATACCACGTATTACTAAGCAGGGAAACCGACCCATGAGACCCGTAGCTTTCATTTTCACAAAGAGACACTGATGGCCAGTGTCTTCCAAAACACTGTCCCGAGTAGATGTATCTTTGATGAGTGTGTTTCCAGACGCAATGGCGCATAGTGAATTTCTGGCTCGGTCGACTCCCGCCGATCACGCTTTAAATCCCAAGATAAGTTGCACTTATCGCAGTTACTGCAGTACTACCAGCATGGTTCCGTTGCGATTCAAATAGTCGATCGTTTTCGGCCACATGATAAGTAAACGGTTCTTCGGACGCTTGATATAAGTCACCTTCTACACAAGCATTAGAGTAAACTGCTGACGTTGAACACGCAGCTTGCAGTAGTGAGATATTTCAGCTATACAGTACTTGAAAAGGACTGTACATATGCTGTACAGTATCTACTCAATCTCTATGCTACTGTATTAGACTATTCTATTGGGGCATGGCTGATAAGCCGAATTAGGAAGTGTCAATTATAGACTCATAGGCTTCGACAATAAGTATTTGAACGAACTTTCTATTCTCTAAATCCCAGGATATTTTGATAATTAGTCTTCACGTCTGAGAAGAACAAGACAATGGAATTCGGCATTGGCGCTACGCCCTCCGATAGCTTTCTGTGCAAGTTGCAGCAGTGCCTAGAGTTTGGTCCACGAATGAATGATCATAACGACCATCTGAAACGGCAAATATTCGAAATCAAAGGACAGAGAGACCGACTATTGGCATATGGGAAGATTTGTGATGAGATGGTTGAGACACAAGATCGATTACTCTTCACGTTAGGTGCTACAGCAGCTTGTAGTGAGCGACATTGCAGAGTATCACCAGGTCTATCAGGTCATTGAAACATCCATATCAGTCTCTCCGATGAAATGACGCCGCATCCTGACGTATTCCAACAGGTGAATCTTTCGGATTCACTGATAGTGGCAGCGAGAACAGCCTGAAAAGCAAGAGAGCCAGATTGGAAAAGGTATAGTTAGAAGCTACTATTTAGCATGGGAGGTGTCGCTTTGTTCCCACGCTCTCCTGACTGTAATCATGTAAGTACTTGTCCATGTCTGAGGTTAGCCGCTAAGACTAAGAGACCGAAGTTACAAAGTGCTAGTATGTATACCAAATTTGCTTTGTAATCATACTGATCAACTTCTGCGGCGAAAGGACAAAGAAGAAAGTCAAATTGCAATAAAACATTACCATGCAGCAAATATAGCTATGTTTCAACCTCATAAATCCTTTAGAGATGTAGTGTACGGATACCCCCTTCGAGCATGTGATTTTGACTGTGTTTCTCTATGCCACGTGTGACTTCGTCAGTGGCCATGTCTGGGAGGTTGAGCTTCTATATCAAAGTCTATCTGCTTATCCTGGAATCTAAATGTAATTGAGAATTTCTTCTCCTATGGATGGCGGATTAGGACGGCTTCTTATGCCCCAGGCCGATGCAAATAAGGTTGCTGATTAAGTCATCACAAAACCATATTATTATGCTCTGAAATTGAGGAAACTATCTTCGTTGGGGCTGTATACATATTGCTTTCCAGAGCCTGAAGCTAATTGTGATTCTTCAGTATGTTGGCTTGACACATCTCGTTGTGATGTCATAAGCTTTAAGCAACGTAGTGTACAAATTACTCAGGTTATGAAAGCCGAATTAAGGCGCGGCATACAGTACAGGAATAGGCCGTCAATGACTCTCATCTCCTCGTGGTGCCGGCTGGGAACCTGGAATGCCGTTTAACCCCTGGGCATTCGCAGAGCTAAGAAGAGTCATCACCAACCAGCACTTGTCCGATGGTTCGAGCGGTGGTAGCACGACAGGGTTCTTAAGCCCTATTACCCACAAGCAACAAGGTAAAACTTTAAAAACCATCCAAGACGCGACCGCGAAATCGAGCCTACAAACAATGAACAGGATTCAAGGGGATGCAAGGCACAGGGTCTATATAGGTAGACGCGCTGCGCCTCTTCTAGTTATTTTCTCTGAAAATACAAATCAATGCTTGAACGCAGTACCAGCCACAATCAGGTTCGCGATCGCTACAGGTCGCCTAGAACAGAGATGATAACACCGCTGCCAACCTAGACCAACAACAACTACTTTGTACAACACCAGCAGGTACCGCTTCAGCCGCCGAAATTAGGAAAGTGAAGACTTGGAGGAAATCGGGCTTGAAGTTGACTTGCTACTACTAATAACCACAGGGATCAAGAAGACAAACGACAATCAGGCTGGAAAGAACAAGACAAGAACTGCAAGGGTTCAGCGAGATTAAGGCAAATACTGGTGTAATGTATGCATCTTTAGCCTATAGAGCCCTCTAGACCGTGGCCTACCAGGCGCAATAGTCTTGTGTGTGTACAGGAATAAATAAAGTGTGGTCGTCACAGTTGATGCCAGGGTGTCTTGTCAGTGCTGGAGGATGGCACGTATTATATTGATGCTTCTAATGCACTGCCTATTCGCTATGTCTAATACACTCTTGGCTGTTCTCAGTATATTTACAATGACTGACGACTGACGATGAACCCTTGCTACTACTCATTATACACAGTGGCTCATTGCGTGATCTCTCAGTTAGACTTTGTACTTGTCCCGAATTCTTCGAGCAAGCTGGAAGTCTCTAAGCATTATAGTTACCCTCTTCGCATGAACAGCATACAGGTTTGAATCTTCGAATAGGCTAATCAAATACGCTTCAGCCATCTCTTGAAGTGCTTGTATAGCTTGTGTTTGCCAGCGGAGGCCTTCTCCATCAGGCCGCTTGTCAATGCCTATCTCTTTAATCTTTTGATTGTTAGAAACTTTGAATATAGTGTACCAATTTGCGATGGCATACGAGTCTTGCAAACGGAAGCCGACTGATCAAAAGGTCGGTTGTGTCTTGGTACCTCCGGATTTCGCCAAGAGCTCTGTTTGTAGGTCGCACACGCCGCCGGGCTTTCACTGGTACCGGGTCTCCGGCTGAAATGATGATTCTGAGTCACAGGTGACAATTCATATGAGTTGGGAGTACGCTACCTTGAACTCTCGGTGACCGCGGTTGGCCATCATGTTGATTAGGCATAGCAAGAGCTTTTGGATTTCAGCAACTGGCTGGGACACAACTCCAGGAACACAACGGCCATGGAAAGACTGTAGAGAACCAAGCTATTCGAGATCTTGTGCATAGTATATAAAAGCTATGTGGAATTACAAGGAAAAAGCCAAAGTATTTGAGGCCGAGACTTCAAAGCCGATTCGGACGGTTTTGAAAGCATACAAGATGGTGCGTGACCTGCGTTGGAGACACACTGAAGCCGATTAAGCGTGACGCCTGTCATGAGCCGAAATCAACTCCTCCACGTCTCACTCATAAAACACATCGGCGATTGGTCTCCCCATATTAAAACCGACATACAATTACTTAGGTCTTAAGGCCACAGCCTGAACTATCCTGATCATATTGTCCAGCCATACACAGTGTCTACCTCCCCGGTTATCACTGTTGCTCGTTCAAATACTCTTAGTAAGTGCAAATGCAACTATTGTACTAGCGGCACTGGCACACTGGACATGCACTATATCTCGTCCGTTATGTGGCACTTTCAATAAAGAATACAATAATTAAACTAATGACGGTGGAATCGCACTACCCTGTAGTGTAATACATGGTGCTATCGCTTGTACCCATCAATGACATACAACTACAAATAGCGAAATTAGTACCTTGGTACCAGAAGTCTGGAGTGCCAGCCCACCTTTTCGATGGTTTTGGCAAATGGCATCGCCTGGGAAGGGGCTAAGCAGCTCCATATGTACGCCGGTGATAGGAAGACGTTACAGTAAAAATCGAAATCGGTTGTCCATCCGCTCTCTCTTCAGTTTCCAGAGCACGGATCTTACTTACGGGGTGTACGTAGTAGTTACTTATGCTACTGTGCTTGAGGTATCGTAACGACTAAGCTATAATCAGATAGCCCGCAGCGGCATGACATAACAACCACCGAGACCGAAAGCGGCTGCATATAATATATACACTATAGCATCAAGCAAGCACCGGCCAGCCCAATAACCTACTTCAGACAGCTCTTTGCTCCAACCATCCTCGGTACATCTGAGGAATTTGATTGTATGAGGCATATGTTGCCACGAATAGTCTCTGTTTCCCCAATCATCTGTTGGAGATGCGTCTTCCGGACACGCCAATCGCTCGAATTAAATGTTGTAATCCACCCTCGGGCAGCATTGACTGAGGCACCGCTCTTGGTTCTATACATCTTAAGAACACGATGATGGGTGAAGCAGGTTAATGGCCACGCGATCTTGGGACTAGTGCATAATCCTGAGTACTCATTCCCGTAAATGCATATCTGCTGATTCAGATACAAGTGTCTACTTCCAAAGATCATAAATATCTCTCCTGGCAAAAGCTAACCTCTTCCAGTTTTCGTCTCTCTCTCCAGTGCCTCTAATCGCCCGTAGCAGTCAATGATGGAGAATTTATACAGACTGCCACCAGAAGTTCTTTACATGGTTTTTGAGTACCTTCACGACACCGGCGATTCAAAATCAATTCATATCCATTACTGTCCAAGAGAACGATCACCGTACCGAGACATCTACAACTTGCTTCGTGTCAACAAGTGGATCAGCAATTTCACCACAACTTGGCTTTATGGAACGCATGAGCTTGTTTTCAAATTTCCGACGAACGACCTGCCTTTATTTATTTGTCAAGCAAGACAGAGCACGCGTGGTATGATTCAACAGGTCAAATTGCGGTGCAAGGGGGATCAGAACCTTCCTCTTGGGTTACGCCTTCTTCCTTGTTGCACAGGGCTCCAGAGCCTGAAAATATCGGCGGAGGACAACATTCCGAAGGTTTACTTCAGCGCTCTGAAACAGATGAGACTTGAAAAGTTTGAATATGACGGGCCTCCGATGGAAAAAATGGAAGAAATTCGAGAAATAATTCAGGGTGGGACAAAACCAAAGGGTAGACTTCTCAAACGAAGCCCTGAAGAGATTGTAAGTAATTCTTACCGAGCAGCTAACAAAGCCAACTACGTTGCAGCTGGCTCGGTATCAAGTAAAACTATATATTATGACACCCGAAATAGCAGTGAGAGGAGAGTGTAAATAATTAGTCTCACAGACCATTACGTTGCTGAGTAGTTGAAACATGTTCATAGGAAGTGCATCAAATTACAAATTAGATAAAAGCTTCGCCAACTATTTTACCCATAGTTCCAGAAGCCATATATGGCTGAGAATCATCTTCAGACGTTAGGCTTATTCAGTATCACTATATGAAGAATGATCGTACTCTAAATTCCTTCTGTCGGTCAGCCAACGTCCAGGATCGTATACCCTCTAGACATACACCCACAGCATTGAACATATCAATATTTGGAATGAAAATCACGCGATGGGTGGTACGGGGGGATGATATAATTCTTGTACTGTATGGTTTAACGGCGGAACTGGGCACCAACTTCATTTTTGAGGTCGTGAGATCCTGAGATTAGACTCTGGATACCCCCGAAACAATACTATAGCGTCCATTTCTGGAAGTTGTAAGAAAGTTCAGCATCTGAAGGTAATAAACTATGGATTGATGACCATCTGCTGTGAAGCCGCATTAGGCTTTTTAAACATGCATGCAAGCTGTCAGCAGCAGTACATGAATACCGTGCCAATAGCTATGAATGACTGTGTAAACCATACCCCCCTATCAAAAATGTCTGTGCAGTATAAATCAAGAAGAGTGAAAAAACGGACAACCGATTTCGATCTTTACTGTACTGTTGCCAGGAAGGTTTGCTCGATTTCCCTTCTCTGAATAAGCTTGAAATAAAAAACTGAGTCGCTTCTTTGCTTTTTACTACAACGCTATCTAGCGACGGTGTATATAACCGCAGAATTTATCTTCTCATTTCTGCTCTTAGGGTTGATTCAGTTGATTTTTACCTTCGGTCAGTTATGAGCAGAGGTGAGACACTCAGGCTCAGTATTCAGTGTTCATATTCCCCCAGCTCTGAGGGGCCTAATCTCTGGCTTACTACTGTTATGAGCCGCGTTGAATACAACTCGGCTCATGATCAAAAACTGCCTGCGAATAGCCAGTGAATGATTTGAGCCTTGGATATTTCATCTACGTTGATTAATAGATATAGTGTTGAACATTTCCACCTTCCACTCCAAAATAACATGCTCTTTCTCAAGTCTAGAGTGGGTATCCTTCGATACATAGCTCTACTTCTTCGTAAGCAGGCACTTTGTCAGACTTAGGCCGTGTTGTAGGCGCGTAAGCAGTTGCTTACTGAAGAAGCAAGTTCTCCGAAGTACTGTTGCTGACTAGTGGAAGTGAAGACAAATAATCAGTGCGAATCAAAAGTACTTCTGTGTAAATATACATGAGATTACGTGCGTTAGCTGGTGACCATATTCGTACCTTATGTACAGAGCTACAGGATCGCGATATGTGGGGTCATCTATTATGAGCAATGGTTATTTTAACAGAGGAAGCTGGCAGTGTTCACTACTGTATGGTATGTTATTTTTGTCAACCGGAAGCGCTCATAACGCTTCACGCCAACATTTCATGACCGTCCGTAAAGACGCGTCGATCTCCTCACAACTCGAAACCACAGTAAGGTGCGGGTTTAAATATCGTCACCTAAGGGAAGTGGGGCTACTCTATTTTAGCCCATCCTTATGCGAAGATGGTGGCCAAAATAGGGACAAAGAGATTAGAGGCCATGAACCAATATTACCGAGACGGGCAGAAGTTTCTAGCTAGCTGTAATGAAGTATCCCGAAATGTCTTCCTATGTGTTACTGTTATGTACAGTAGTGAGCACCGTTACCTTCCGCTCTGAAACAATGCGCTCTTTGTGAAATCTCGGGTGGGGTTACCTCAGTACATGGGTATACTTCGGAAGCCGAGTTTTATCGGCAATTTGCTGGCTTGTGGGTACACAAGCAATTTTTGGCTGGGCGAACTAAGTACTTTGAAGTACCGCTGCTGCATGAAGTTATAGAGCTAGAATCCTGAAAAGTGGAGACAGACTTACAGTGCAAGCCTTGAAGTACTGTCGCTTATTGACAAGGTAAGTACATCACTATAACTGTCTTTAGTGTGACCATGATTGTACACAGTGTAGATAGCTCCTTATGCTCAATATAACGGGCTTTGCCTTAGAAACAAGAGTTACTGTCGGAGAGGAAGTTACAGTAACGGTGCTCGATACTGTATATTTTCGCTTTTGTGACCCTGTCGCTGTCGAGGGCTATTTGTTTAGTGGTTCCACTACACCAGATTATGACCTCTGTATCCATGGTCAGCATCAGATAGCCAAGGCGCCATTTTTGGTCGTTAGTAGGCTGCGGTTTATTCTGGACGTCTTGGGGCGGATGAAAGTTTATTGGTGTCATTGCTAGCTGTAATCATTAGCTTTTGGAAGCATTGTGTCAGTAATTTCAGTGCAAAATCCATTTCTGACAATTGACTTTGCGGACACCGTAGTATTCCTATAGTTGGGCGGACTTCAGACAGCCCTACTTTATGCGATCCGAAACTTCGTTGGAGGATGCATATCCTGAGAAACTTCAGCTAGTCGGTTCTTAAAAACCTGACAACTTTTATACCTTATTCTCTTTCTTTTGTTGCCCATTTCAGTTTCATCGCAAGTCCTTCACCATGTTTAAACCTGTTGTTCTCGAAGACGTTACTGGCGGAAGCGGAAAGGCTACTAATCTTTGTGTTCTAGTTTACGGCGTAAGCACATCCCTTGACGATCGGTCCTTACACGTCAGCGCTGACCATAGAAGTAGCTTTGGGGAAACCCAACTCATATGCGTAATGTTGCTAAGGTTTTGCGCGACAAATATTCTGAAGAAAGATTATATATCCTGCCTGCCGAGAAGAACTGCGGCAATTTCACATACGATGGCATTGAAATTGGTGGCGAGCGCGTGTGCGCTGAGATCGAGGCCAAGTTGCGCAGCATTAAAGAGCAAGGAGGCAAGATCACTAAATTGAGTATGGCAGGATATTCGCTCGGTGGTCTGGTTTCGCGGTATGCGGTTGGTTTGCTTGATGCGAAAGGAATCCTTGGTGATCTCGAATGCATGGTAAGTCGCAGTCGGGGGAATCGTAGTAGGAAAAGATTCGCTGAACTGACAATCCCATCAGAACGTTCCCACATTTGCAATCTCCCATCTCGGAGTGAGAACGCCACTTAAAGGATGGCTCAACAACGTCAGGAACGTCCTCGGCGCCCGAACGCTATCAATGTCAGGTCGCCAACTTTTCACCATCGATAAATTCCGCGACACCAACCGACCCCTTCTCGCCGTGCTCGCCGATCCAGATTCTATGTTCATGTCTGGTCTGAAGAAGTTTAAGCGTCGTACACTGTACACAAATATCGCCAACGATCGAAGCGTGCTACACTACACATCAGCCATTACCAAATATGATCCTTACACAGACCTTGAAAAGATCAATCTCAACTACCTTGAGGGATACGAGGGTGTGATTCTTGACCCTGACCATCCTATTACGCTTTGACCGAAAGTTCAACAAGACGCCCCGTTGAAAAACTACAAAGCCCTCAAGAAGTGGTTCAAGAATATCCTGTTTATGGCGACAGTTGGTATTATAATGCCGATTGGCCTTGCTGTCTTCCTCGTCTACTCTGCCGCCCAAACAACCTGGAGTGCCATTCGAATCAATGCGCATGAGTCAGGAGAGGCTGGGTTTGAAGATCGAGCAGTACCGCATGTTCCTGCGAATTCAGGAGGTTCGAGAAGAAGCCAAGCAAGCTTACGAGGTCTTCAGCAGCTCACAGAGCCAGCAGTATTTGGCAGAGTCAGATTGAGAAGACAATCTGGCTTATGATGTTGAAGATCCCAAGATGTTGAGGAAAGAGCGTAGAATGTCGACTCCTGGACAGGTTACGCTTGTGCTGACTCCTGATCAGTTAGATATGATTGAGAACCTGAGTGGAGCTGGTTGGCGCACGTGTCCTGTTCACATTCAGAAGCATCGACATAGTCACGCGGCTATTGTGGTGCGCATGGATAAAAAGGGTTTCGTAGATGGTTGGGTTGTTTTGAGGCACTTTGATGGGAGTGAGTTCGTCATGTAAGGGGAATGTTCTATTGGAATGGCGTATAATGGATTCATGCGCGATGCATTCGCGAGGTGTTGGTGATACCTTTGACAGGGCCGGAATATATGGATAGAATTGGAACATGACTGGAGCAAAAAGCTACGTGAACTAGGCTATTGGGTTGGCCGGTGCTTAAAAGTAGACGAACGGATGATAGAGGGAGTAGAACTGCCAGAGCATGTGGTTCTAATTCAAGAGATAGCGTTTGTAGAAAAGAGAAATACCCATCACGACTGGCATCACGAACTGTGCTCGAAATAGTATATCAAGACAACGAACAGATCAAAGAGGCAATCAGGATGCTATGGCATAGAGTTGTGATTAAGACAGAGCCATTGGTATCGGATAATTCAAGTCGGCAGCTGTCGAAAGTTTTACTGCAGTACTGCCACGATAGGTTGGAACGGGCTTGCGGAGTAATAGTCTGAGGGATCGGAACTTAGTGCGGAGATGTAGTAAATTGACCATATCTTACGTGGACTTTCACCTATATAGCGCAAATAAAAAAGTGTTATATGGATAGTAGGAATGCATCGTCTAATTAGCGTGAAATATGTAGCTTTCAGCCCACGGAGGAAAACTTCGATTGGCCGCCTGATTATGGCTTATTCGTCAAGATACACCGAGCACAGTAAAATCAGTAGTTACTGAATACACTCTGTAAACTCCATCCGTGCGCTATAGTCGAAGAAAGGGTACAGGTTACAGGTTGGCGCTAGACAATCCAAATGTCGGTCTACAGTAGACTTTATACAGTACCAAAGGTCTATGAATGATTATATCTATCTATTTGAGTCGCTATCAATCTTTTATGAATACGCAGAGCTGCTTAGAGCTAGTCTTTGTTAACAACACTAAACAAATTGTCGACAAAGAAAAAGTAGTTTGGATTTATGACCGTATCTGAACCATCAAAAGCGCAAAAGTGGCCCAGGAAAAGATGTTGCTCATATTTAATTTTCTTTTCGTCGAAGAGGACGCAACCGATATCTCATCAGGCCGACGAGTAGGTGTCGGGCTTGTTCTCGAAAGATTGCCAATAGACCAAGCTGAAAGGGGGTTGGTGTCACCATGAAGTGGACTTGACGTCGGCCACATGGCGTCAGAAGTGCTCCCATAGCCGACTACGGAGAGCTCTTGTGTGATCACAGTTGCCGATACTATCGGGGATCCGGGGTATTTGAGTGATGTAGATGTCTGCTGAGGCGTTGTTGCCAATGAGGGTAAGCAGTGGCATGTTGAGGCGACCTGCGTAATAATCATTAACACCCAGTATCACCGCACGATCAAGAATCGCTGACAAATAGAGCTTACCTGAGCACTTCGTGGATGTAGCTGTGCCGGGCGCATGTTCACTTCAACAAGTGGTGTAACTACTCAGAGATGGCCATAGGCTCTCCGTAGTTATAAAGGAACAAGGTGGTCGACGGGAAGCTGCCACATGGATGGCTGCTGTGAGAAAAGTCCGGAAAACATCCAGTGCAGCGTAGATTGAAGGCTGGCTAGCAGAATTGTGTCCAGCAAATTGTTTTGGCTGAAAACGCTCTAAGGAGGAATGCATATATGCACATGTATATTTTGAATTCCATGCTACAGTGCCGGACAAAATTAGAGGCCACCTTCGCTTTCTATAAAAATGTTCATAGCATTGGCCATTTGTGACTAGTGTTGCATTTATAGTATGTAGAATGTAGCCATACTGTTATGGCTTACAGTCATCCAAACTGACTGCTTATAGCTGTGAAGAAGCCACCATATTGCCTCTGTGATGCGATATGCGTCCAGAAAATGCTTATGCCTTATTTTATTGAACTTGTTTGTATAGGAGGACCGAGAATGATACATGGTGACCCTCTAGCAGAAATACGCAGCCATAGTTCATCGCCGTGTGCGAAATGGCCCTCTGTACTATGCTAAGGCGCGTCCCTGACACGGTCCATGCTAAGAAGCTTTCTGCAGAAGCTGTCAGACATTAATTGCCGGCCAAAATCAAAGGCCGCACTGGCTTTTGTTGAATATGGGCAGGAGTATCATATGCAAGCAGGGATACTTCGGATTATGCGCTAAAACGGCGACTGTAATGTCTATAATGCATGCACGTTTCCCCAAACTCATGCTGTACCTCGTCTTTTATCCTTGTGATGATAGCCTGTCTACAGAAGCCAATACTGCTCCTGATTATCGACGGTTCATTTAGATCTATTCCAACTCATGTTCTCTCGTAAGAAGTGAGGCATCACGCCAATTTTGTTTGCAAAGCTTCTGACATCAAGTCAGGTCATAGATAGTGGGGACCTTCTGGGATCACGCGTCTTCAGTCCATCGATGTCGGCTGGTATACTTTCCTCATAAGCTCAGTTACGTATGATCGAGTGGCACTATCTCTGGTTATACGTAATGCTTTGTTACAAGCCTCATTAAGATAAATACAGTGTTATCAAGCACATGACGGTATCCCCTTTGCCCTTTTTTTGAATAGCATTGGCGTATCACATACAAATCACACATGATGACGCTTCAGAATACTGGTTGTTTCAGCGAAAGTGAAGTAACAACATGAATAGCATGTAGCAATTTAAGTTTCATCATTCACAATCAACGGCTTGCTGGCTTGATGCCTATCCCAACAACTACAAGTTATGTAATATTTGGCAGCTTGGGAAGCAATTGAAGATAGAGGATAAAAAGAAAGAAGAAAACTCCTTGGAAAGCTTGGTTGGGTTAACCACGTAAAGTTTAAGGAAGAGGAATCAGTTTGGCAGCCTGTGGCCGATACACAGGCTCATCATCGTCCAATGCCATATCTAATCGTTAAAAAAGTATTATAGTAACTATGTGGGTAACTGGCAATTGTGATCTCTCTTCAAGTGGCCCCTTCTGGAACACCATCACATGCTCGGGCATATTAATCATATCCTTGATTCGTCGACCATCATGTTATGCATGTAGTTCTAGTGAATGCCAATTCGATACCATCTGTTTAGAATAAGGGACCTGCATTGACCAGAGCACCTCTTTAAAACACCCTATCACTTCTTTAGATCGTTGGTCCTCTTGAAAAGGAGTTGCTAACCTTTTCGAAAAGCTAACAAGATTCCACTATCTTGTTTTTGTAATTTTCAATTCAGCAGCCGCATCGTATGCGGCAGATACTTTCTCTTTGAGTCATAGTGAATATTGTTTCTTGGGGGAAGTATCGCTGTCAAGTGACACATCCCGTCATTCAACACTAGTCTCTCCTATCACACAGTCAGCAATATGACTTACGATAGCGTGTCTGCTTGAAACTTCTTTGATAGATACAGTTCAGATGCTCTGATGAGGGCAAGATTATCAAACTCAGCGTAAGAGTTCCTCTTCGAAGCACATCTGAGTCATGAATGGTTATAGCTGGCATATTGTCTGTAGAGCGAGTTAGTTCAGAAGTTCTAGTAGTTCATGTCACTTTTGGCTAAGTAGTATGTAGATCACGCCATCGCCTATATTGTTATAAAGTATTCTTCTATATCAAACAAATTCGCAAACTTGCACATCTCTTCGCTGATCAGAAAGGAGAGCATCTTGTAAGACTTAACCCGAGAAAAGGCAACCCTATACCTCGTGCACTATAGACGCTCAAACCAGGCCAACAAATGGCCTTCTCCTAGCGCTGCTTATTCATAACTAGCATGCCACAAGTTTCGTATCTCGTCAATAAAGCAGCCTTAACTTTACATATTGCCAATGAAATATCCAGTATTGGATAGGTATCCAAAGCTAGGTTGTTTGGGTGGAAGCTTAGGCACGAATAACTGGGCAATCTTGTGCTATTGCTGATAGAAGGCGGGAGGGTCCCGAGGTGAGTCGTCCAGGCTGTCTACTGCAGTTTCGAAAACATCGAGTACAAGGGATGATAGACGCATAACAAAGTCATACTTAAAGGATGTCTAACAAACACAAAGCGTACCATTTATAGAAGGCAGTTTGGAACTGTTCAAACTGCTACAGCGACCAGAAGTCACAAATATGGATTACTGCCACAACGAAGTTGATGGATAAGACTCATGTAGGGGGGACTAGTGTCCCGATATCAAATTTCTCAGACTTCCAACTGGCTTAGAATTCATAACTTGATAACCAAAGCACCACTGAGTTGTACAAGACGAAATCAAACTGAGCTTGTCCCTTTCTATAACTTTACTCGAGCGAACTTCGAAAGGTCTGGCGGGTTTTCCTGACACAACACATTACCTTGATTACCTAGAGTAGCACCATAGCTGGATATAGATATCAACCCCCCGAACTGGTTTGTTTGTCGAATCTCATCCTCACTAACCCCAAGGTTATCCTTGGGAATCCAAACAGTGGGTTGTCGAGACCTAAGAGCCACATGGTCAAATGCGGTAGCTTCGAGATCATCTCTCTCGGTTCCAGTCGATTCTTGTAGCTTAGTAGATAGCTCGGCGTTTTCTATTGGACGCCGCTTGTTTTGGGCAGAGTCACTATCGTGAGTCATATCCCTGACTTTGTAATCTCTTTGTGTAGCGGTAGACATTGAGAAACGACGTTCGCCTAGAGTTTGGATTCGATGGCATACGTCTGCATCAAAGTCTCCTAATTTTACAGGCAGATATCGAAGAAGCGGGCCGAATCTCCAATTCAAAAATACCTGGAAGAGAACTGTACCAACTAAGACCAATACCATGATGATGCCTTGTGCCGTGCAAGCAGCTCTTCCTCTTTCGTCTTTGACTATAAAGAACAAACCAGCGAGGCATAGTTCCATCACATATAATCCGGTAAAAGTCTGATTGATTGCACGGGGATAGAGAACACCTCCAGCATCATATTCCGCCTGGTAAATGCAAAGTATGGTATACCGTTGAGTGATCCATAATAGCCCGAACAAAAGGATAGCAAACGCCGAGATGAGTGGGGATGTTATACAATAGACCAGCGCAATGCATGCAAAGTTAGTATATACCGGGAAGATAGAGCCCCATCTCATTGAACGTGGCTTTGTACGCCGTGTCCATATATCTCGTGCAGTCCTGTCTACTAACGGAGCGATGGCGTAGTGCTCAAACAAGCTACTTATCTGAAGAAGCGTGGCGGAACTGGTTGAGAGAGACTGCAGGATCATGTATGAAAAGAAATAGTTCGATGCTTTCGGAAGATTTCGAGCAAGAATATCCAAAAGATCACTAACCCTCTGTATGTCTCCCACGTTTGCAGCAAGCTCTCTAATAGAGGTTGTGAAGAAGGAAGCGATAGATACAACGAGGAAAAGCTGTATGAACAAAAATACGAAATAAAATTGTTGGACAAATTCATCTCTCAATGACAGGGTCTTGACCCCTTTAAATTCTGCCAAAACCTCTAAGAGGGATGGCAAAATGTAAAGAAGTATTGCGAGAATAGCAGTTGGTAATATGCCTGCAATTGCGGATACAGAACTTCGCAAGATTTCTGTCTTTTCCAAGAAAGTCAACCAATCATAATGTTGAATTAGCTGATCAACCTGACTGAGTGCCCCTGTCCAAGCTACTGGAATCGACCACAGAGATATCATGGTGAAGACGATACTATATGTTAAAATAGCTCGAATCCATTCTTCTCCATTTTTCAATGCCACGTTATTCCAGATGATTTCTTCAGGGCAGAATCCGATGACCTTAGGAGTCATGTGTTCTGGTTGATGATGGACCTCGCTTTGGCAAGCCATGTGAGCCGCGAGCTGAGAGTGGAATTGGATGAATGCAGAATTCCCAATCGAACACTTCCCAGGACTATCTTGAGCACACTTTATTTCAGAATTCAATTTTTCGAGCTTACGTCGACACCAGTATATAGTATCCTCCTTTCTGCCGAATGTGACAACTCCGGGCAACCAGTCCCAACCAAAACGTGGTATTCTATGAGTTGGACGATCTTTTTCATCTAGGAACCTCGCCCAGGCATCATTTTGACTGCACTTCTCGTAATCACTGATCAAGATTGGAGGAGCTGCAGAAATCTTTGCATCAGAAACTTTCGTTTGGATCTCGCTACAGGTCTGGCTAAAACGCTTCTTTCCGGATTCTTGGTTGAAGATCCTTTGCCGTTTCTGGTGTACCAGTTGAGAGGCTTTAATGAGATCAGTTTCAGCAGCTTCTAGTCGCTGATGAATAGCATTACGAAGGATGATCTTTTTTAGTAAAGGACGGAAATCCCGATTGATCCACACGTTTTTGACCCCTCCCGGAAACACCGAAAACATCTCTTTAAGCTTGGCCTTCTGGCACAAATCATTGGGTATTGAGTTGACTAGGATAGTAGATGATGAAGGTCGCAGCCGATGCTCTGTGCTAGTAAGGTAATCCTGTCGGACTCTGACGTATTCTCTCATCTCATCGAAAAATATCGCGCAAGTCCATACGACAACCACAATTGCCATCAACAAATGCGCCCAATAGCGTTGGGAGTTTTGAGGCTTCACATTAGCCCATGTTAAGGTATCCAGGCCAGTGATTTGGGCTGCGCTTTGGTTTAGTCGATCTTCTCCATCACGAGCAATTTGACTGCCACGCCCGCCGACGTAATTTAACGGGATAAGGGACGGTATAGCAAGCGCCGCGGTTAGCAAAAAAACAAGAAGTATCGTCTTGAGATACCGGAGGAAGAAATATGCATCAAGTCCACATTTACGTATCAGTTCTTGATCGTTCATACCACATATCTGCTTCATTCTAGGAATAAAGCCCGTGCCTTCCTCTTCTGGTTGTTCATGTTGGGGGGTCAAACTACTCTTTGGTTTGCTATTGACTCGCTTAGAACGGTACAGTCATCGCTCAGCTTGAAAAAGAACTTACAAAACACGGCCAAGTCTGTTTCGCAGTAATAAGAAGAGAAAAAGCTGTATGGTAAAAATGGTGAATCCGCTGCTTAATGCAGCTAGGAAGCTGAATACCCCAATACCTTGATCTTTCTGTGCGCCTCCAGGTTGCTTACTGCCTTGGCCTCTTTTGAAATCGTGAATGATGGTTTCATTCGCTTCTATCATAGCTGTAAGTTTCATGGTAACTCAGTGTACCGTAAATAGTGTTCTTATGTAGGATGGATTACGATAGAAAGCAATAAGCCTGTCAATACATAAATAGTACTATTGCATGACATAGCTTATCATCAAATCCCATTTTGATCTCTTCCGGACTGTCATATTCGGCCGAAAATAACTCGTACAACCCAATGCTCGGGTGCTTAACCTACTTAGGCTCTACACTCACATTATCACTCAAGATTGTCTTCTATGCATCAGGCAGGACAATTGCTCAAGTTCTATAGTATTGGGTTCCTTCTTTGCCGGAAATCCATCGCTGGAAATGTAGAATTCTATCTGACACCAATTTCTTGCCTCATTTTTGATATCGCTGGCTATTCATGATGTACCGCTATCTAACCCGATGCCTATTCGGGGTTTCTCAACCATTAGGTCGCAGAACTGAACTAGGTTGTCGACTGGGTTTCTTTTCTACAACATTTCCCTTTGTTCAAGAAGATTTTCGGCCGTCTAGAAAGGTCTTAGGCTACAAAAGGATATTTTCTTGGAGAGAAAATAGTAGAGTGTAACGGAAGATTTCAATTCGTCCGTTTTAAGCTCGTAAGAAGCAGTCGTGTAGGGTACTATGGTAATCATTAGAGGCCTTTGGCTCAATATCGTAGGGAGCTCCAAGGTATTTAAACATACTTAGATGACTATTTCCTGGGAATTGAAACACATGGGAATCATGGATTCTTGTCGCCACTCGTGTTGGCTCAAGCCATGGAGCAGTGCCGATGAAGTAGGATTGGAAGTCACGGACCGACCTCAGCGCCTACTGAGAGAGTTCGAGAATCCTCATACAGAGAACGCTGGCCTCCTGGTATTGATAGGTAATGAATCGAAGCAATCAGCTTTCCGAAAACTAAGCTTTCAGACTGAGCGGGTACGTGGAAGAATTGGTGGGGAGATTCATCTACTTGCATCTTCTTTTCGAGACGGTCGCCGTAAACGCATTATGGTGGCTGATACAGATGTTCCGCATTTCTTACCTGGTATGACTTCTTCTAGTGGCAATGCTTGCCATGAAGTCAGCTCTTATACAGCTCCGAAGCAGTCCATTCCTGCTGAACCGTTTAGCTTTGACAGCCTATTACACAAGTCTCTGTTCCCATGCGCCGATGTGATATGTATTTTTGTCGATGATTTAGGAGGATTCAAATCCTCTCTAGAACATTTGGCTTCCTGGCTAAAGAGGGGACCATCGTCAGTAAGCAAAGTGCAGCCACGGGTCCTCTTTATAGTAAAACAAGAAGAGAAGCACCAGCACCAGCTGGATCTCCAAAACTTCCTACGAGGAAGTCGACGTAGAGAAGCAGACATTTGTTTCAGCAATCTCACGGTAGTCGGAGTTTCAAAGGCGAATAAGAAAAGAGGAAGGAGACGCACGCAGACACGACGATGGCAAATGCTCGGATTTGCCATCGCAAAGGCGCTGGAATCTGGGAGGCAGTCCCGTCGACGATCCAATTCTTTGTTTACTGTCTATCATCTTGCATATTTCCTGCAATATGCTGCCAGTAGAGCGTTACATATTCCTCTAGAACCATTCAGCTTTATACAGGTCTCTAGGCTCAATCAAAAGGTGGCCCCAGATTTGAGTGACCATATCCTTGAATTCTTGGATAAGTTTCGGTCACTCGCCGCCTTGCATCGGATTGCTATTCACTTGATTGCGTCTAGTCTGCTTCTCGATCACTATAAGCTCGGAATGCACTGTAAGACGTCAAGCATATTCGTTGCGTCACCAGCTAACCTTGGTTGTAGTATTTGATTCTCATCAAGTCTTCAATGAGTTATATGAGGCTGCCTGTATTCGAGCAAGCTCCCAGTTTGAGCCAAGATTTATGAGACTTATGCCGCCTTTGGAGCTTGTAAGGCTGATATCATGTAGTATGTTTACACAGTTCGCACAATTCCAGGCAATTGGGTCGACTGTCGATTGGCATCGAAGGCAGCTGGCGCAAAATAACGACACCCTGGGTAAGATACGATCAAACCGTACATGCCTCAGTTGTATTCGGAGACGACCGCAGTTTGGATTGTCATGCGGGCATTTGATTTGCCGATATTGTGTCAAAACTTTCTATGCTCCAAGTAGGACTGACCCCTTCGAATACCGCCCAGAGTCATGCCTCCTTTGTGGCCAGTGTACCTTAGGGACTTTGATCCGCTTGACGCCGGAAACATGCCGGCTCCACGTACTAAGTATTGACGGGGGGGGGATACGCGGCTCAGCTCCAATTGAATTCATTAAGGCGATACAGGATGGGGTTGGTATACCTTACTATAACGTGCAGCGCAGTTTTGACGTGAAAGTCGGCACCAGTTCGGGTAAATGCATCCTGCTATGCTCACAACCTCTTGAAGCTAACGTATTGCAAGGAGCATTGATTGTTGTATGCCTCGGCGTTTTAGGATGGAACGTGGACGATTGTATGTTGTATTTGAAGCAGTTTGCTGAACAATCATTTGCCAATCGCCAATCCAGACTAGCACAGTTGTTTTCGAGCTTACCATTTGTCTCAAGGATCTTTGGTGTCTTTCAATTCATTCACGCCTTATTATCTGACAGCAAGTATGCCGCTGATGGTATCGAAAAGTCACTTCTCGATACTTACGGCTGTGACCGAACCTTGACGGGCACGTCTGCGGCTGCCGGGCTAGGAGGGTATGTTGGAGTGACACTGACAAGAGCTAGTGATGGTAGCGTTTTCCTTGCAACAAACTATAATCATGTCGGCGATGTGTATTCGAGTACTGGTAAGCGAAAAGATCGAGGAAGTTTATTCTTTTGCTAAAACTAACCAGATTATTGTCACCTTGAATCATATGATGGCCAGAATGAAGTCAAGTGGTGGGAAGTGTGAGTCAAACAGAACATATTCGACCTTGGAGAAACTGATCATGAACAGTTTACGATGTGCAACAGCGGCACCGTTGTAATTTCTCTCAAAATCATGGTATTGGCCAACGCTGACAAAACTATAGCTACTTTAAACCGAAGTGTCTCGGTAATCATGGAGCGTTCCAAGACGGTGGCGTTGCAGTCAACAATCCCGTCTGCATTGCTGTACATGAAGCGATTTCGCTCACTCCAGATATGGCCGAGCCCAGCATCGTAGTTTCCTTGGGCACAGGTTCTGCGTCTGACACAGACGTTGAATCATCAAGCATATTTTCTAATACCTTCCTGCCCAGGCTCTGGAGGGGTCTCTGGAGGCAAGCGAGTTCAAGAACCGCTTGGGACCATTTCTTGAGCCATCAGAGCCCCGAGAGCAAAACAAAAACCTTCCGTTTCGATGTCAACTATATGGAAAAGGAACCGCAATTGGATCAGGTTAGCGGTATTGGTTATGTGCAACAGGCTGCTTGTAGCGCAGTGGTAAAATCCCCAGAGATTCGTCAATTATCTTGTTTATTGCGAGCAAGGCTTTTCTTTTTTGAATTGAACGAGCAAGAGCCGCCATACTTCGCTCGTGGGGCCTACCAATGTTCGGGTCGGATTATGTGTCTGCTCAGAGCTCAGACGCCTGAGTACGAAGCATTCATGCACCAACTTTGCACAAAAGCAGCCTTTTTTCAGTTAGGTACTCAGAGCCTCGAAGTATCGTATGAAGACATCTCGAGAGATTTATGTTACGATGTCAAGTTTGCTGCGCCAAGTCTCAGGAGTAATATCCGGATCACATTGAACGAGACAGCAGGTGAAGAGCTCGACATAAATGGCTCACCATACCCACTAGATTGGCTGATTAAGAGACAATGCCTTGACGCCAGCTTTGGCACCTCAGACCATCGGCTTAGAAATACTTCCATGATTTATGTCCCCAAAGCTAATAATTTTGATTATCAAAAATGATCCTCGAGTAATAATTGGCGTAAGGGTATTTCTCGATTGGTATTACTTTCTGCCAGTTATTTAGATAAGTTGTCATTATATTAATGCCTTCGACCTAGCTCAATGAAACGCATAAAGCTTAAATGTGCTCCACCAGGGCCGCCTCGTGTGGGAACTACAAATACTGCCTTGCGATAGCATGAAGTAATCAAAGCTCAACCGGGGTCTCGTTGATTATTATGAGCTCAATAGATCTTTCAGGAGGTGTGTAAATAGGCATGCTTGACGGGATCATAAAGGCAATGGTGAAGCTAATTTGGTGTAATTGGCTAAAGCATCAAATTTACATAAATTTGTGAAACATGCGGGTCTTGTTTTACAGTACTCGCTCCGAAGGTTGCAAAAAAGTGATCGTTTAGCAGCTGGGGACGCTGAAAACGAATTCTAATCGCACTTCATGCAGTAGAAAATAAGGCGAAATATGTTTACCTTTTAGCGGCGATGAGCCGCCATATTGATGACATCAGGCAGCCAATACTACTACAGGGGGTGGCGAAAGCTACTGCAGTACCACTGTAGCCTAGATGCATTGAACCAGCCACACTAGCCACAGATCATTCGTGCTCAGAAACTTTGTGTAAAAAGCTGGGCGGTCTCTAATTTCAGCTGGGACTGTAGCACAGTGCACATCGAGGTACTATACGTGTGTCTGCCCATGTGAGTGGAATGCCTGTTGACGAAGCGCCCATGAGACAGCTCTATGCGCGTATCTCGCGTCGTGTACTCCGTATTCTATGCGGTTACTCGGGAGTCGGCTGGGAGCTGGAAACCCTTGCACCACCTGGAGCCTGGCATGGGAAATACGCGACTTAGGGGACAGTGCTAACTTAGGGACCATCTGCTGGTGGCTGGGGTGTTGATGCATTGTAAAGAAGCTGTGCTACTTTCGGATACAGTAAGGTGCGGGTTCACCGTCAGCAGTTTCCTCTAATGCCTGTGTGGGAGGTGCCCCAAGATAGGCTAGCGTGGAGAACGCCCCCGTCGTCCCACAGCCGTGATTGTCTCTTACTATCGCGGCGACCCGGAATCAGGCAGCCACATTTAGATCAGCCTATGGTGATTCTTCTCATCTGAGGGATCTCCTGGCTAAAAATCGCCCCTTCATCCGACTCTCAGTAACATCTACATTCACTTCAAATGCTCTCATACTGATTAGGTTGCTATTAGTAGACCGGAGGACAGGGACTGCACTAGCGTCGCCTGTTAGTGTGATTAGCGCCATGTCTAGTCTATTTTAGGTCATTTCAGCAAAATGCTAATGCTGGGCTACTGGGGTGAGCCCGCACCTGACTGTATAGGCTACTTGGGGAAAAAACAGTAATCATTCAATTTCACTAAACAGAGGTTAACAGACCGGATTCTAGTACAACACAGTCCCTCACAATTTTTGTTGGCTTTCCTGACTACCACCCAATGACGCACAAACAGCTGAAGTATTTTCTCCATTCATGGACCGTTCGTGCACGTCTCAGCTGACCACGCAAAGAGTCGGCAGTTGCTGGATGAGCTTCTTCATTTCTAATGATGCTAAGCACCAGAATTGTGCTCATGTGAGCACTTAGTCTCGTCTTGGACACCAATTTGACATTCGATAACCAGGCTCTATGGAAGATGACCCTAGAGTCTCTCATTGGCCATTCTTCGTGCCTGGTCATGATAATTGCGATGGCCCTTGTCTGCAGCTCACCAGATAATTAGAGCCCCTACCCCGCACTTCTAGGGTAATCACATTGGCTAACGCAAACGGGAGAACGGAGAGCTTTGAGACAAAGAGAATTTTATGCTGATCCCCGCTATCAAGTCTCATCGCCAAAACGTGTCTTACTCTTCGGCTATACAATTTTATTCTCGATCGCAAATATCTCTACCGTTTTCGTGCTTGTTCTAACGTACAATATCTTTTCGGACAACTTCATTAGCGGCAGTCGCTATCCGATGTTCTGAAGTCGAAGATGCGAAAGATGCAGTGCGGCGGTACCTTAGATCGGAAGAGTCAGGTCTCGCCAGCGTCAGCCCGTCGCCGAGAGGCTAGAGACCCAGGCTACCAGGCAGAAAATACATAACTACCGAAAAGATCAGGGTGTCCTGAATTATAAGCGCCCCTTGGAACTAGTTTTCAGTGTTATACGAAGGCAAAGATCATTACATAAGCATAGCAGTGCTCGTTTGTCATCTATCTACTAACTCTGGAGTGCGTGTATTGCTGTAGGATGACTTGATTTATCCTTTTCGTCGTAAGTTGTCGACATGGCAATATGGCCGACCACGTTCATCAAGAGATAGGAGCGTTGTAGACGCCCGATATAGAGTAAAGTATGTATAAGACGAAATATGCTGACTTTTTGCGGCCATAAGCAGTCGCTTTAACGACCGTAAGCGAGCAGCTCGCACTGTAACTAGCCACACTAGCCACACTACCAATGACATAGTCCGTGCTCGAAAACTTTTTGTAGAAAGCCAGGGCGGCCACTGATTTCGGCCGGTACTGTATATCAATTTATACTGGTGTAATATATGTATCTTTAGCTTATAGAGCCCTCTGGGCAGTGGCATGCTGGGCGTAATAGACTTGTGTGTGTGTATATATCATTTAACTCAAAAGTACTGTTTAGTGGCTTTCATCACATGAGAGACGAAAGCGGACGCTGTGGCCAGTCAGGTACTACTGAATTAATATCCTTAACTTTCCACACTTGAACTACTAACCGAATCACACTCGTCTTACCTACACAATACTGAGACTGATAAAGTGTTAAGATAGTATAGTAGAGATCACCGTCATACGAGTATCAAGCACCATGCCGTTTCGCCTTTTTCCCTTCCTGCCGCTCGATTTGCGAGTGCAGATCTGGGAGACAGCTCTGCACATCGCTGCCATGTCAGTTGTCTCGCTGAGCTTGGGCATCATGTGCCCCTCCAAGATCGGACTTTCCTGCGCTTCCGAGACAGTTCGGCAAGTTGGGTCATATGGCATTGCGCTCTCATGCAAAGAGGCATTTTTCGAGTGGGAAAGAACTACAAGTCTCATTTCAAAGAGTGCATCTGTCAGGCTCTGTCTTTCTCAAACAATGTTCTTGCTGCTTGACGTCGGGCAGCTAAGGTCCGATTCAGGTAGCGAGGCATTGCAGATCACAGATAAGATATCGTGAATCCAACACGCAGCATTCTTTTTAGAATCAGAAATCAATCTTATGGACGCCTTGTCAGTCCTCACCTATATCAATCATCTGGAGACCATTTTTGTTATTGTTCCTGGATGCCATATCGAAGATAAGACAACTGTGGATCGCCATAAGATCCAGTCAGTCGCGCAATTCCTGGCTAATTTGACACAGGAGTCGCAGCCGGGGGTAGGTAGTATAACGAATAAACCAGTAAGGCTCTATTTGAAGGGTCTTTCCTCCAATCCTCAGGTTGAAGCTTTCTACACGCGTATGGATGCTCCTTCCGTGAATTTTGTCACGTTGCAGTGCAGCAAAGACTGTCGACATGATAAGAGTCCTAAGAGGGGGTCAATGGGCTATTCTCTATTTGGCAGTACATGATCTGTGGTATGATTTAATGTGCCGGCTAGATGAGGTGTTTGTCTTGGAAATAAAATTGGTTCCAGATACAGTCCATACCCTGGACTTCAGAAGCCAACGTATGCTTCAAATCTGAGTCTCTTTCGTTGGCGCTTCAAAGTTTGAGGTTTTTTATTACTTATGTGTCTGTATCCACTCTCTAATGCCTCGTATTATATGGACAAGAGCGTCAATTATCAGCCATCGAAAAACTATAAGTTTAAGCAAGATAAAACATCTGCTTGTAGAAAGACCAGTTTTGAGAAGGCAAGACCAGTACCAGTACTTTTTACTATATTGGATAAAAGGCTTCAGCAGAGCAACGAGAAGGACGCTATCTTCAGCAGGAAGGTAACGGAGTCAAAGTATAAGAATATCACATTTAGTGTCAGCCGCCCCTCTACTCGCTCCATACTCCAGAGACATCCCTTCCGATGCGGCCTGTGGATTTCCCTTATGATCTTTTCACTATACCAGGCAAATATGAGTTTGATTACTATGAGCAGTTGGTCACTCCTGCCTGCACTCTTCCAGCTCGCCGAACGCCGATGAACATAAAACATTCGAGAGCGCCAAGTAGCCATGTAAGTTCGCAAGCTCTTGTGAACACTCACAGTACCCCCAACAATACTGGAGAAAAAAGAACATTGAGGTAAGTGGCAATTTGCAAAGAAACGGAGGGCAGTAAATTCGGTGTCCTGTAGAAGTAGTAAATCATCCGTAAGCCAAAACGACAACAATAAAAATTAGTTTCAAGTCCTAGCCTAACGTTCATCGCTTGAGGCTTTCAAGGGTAACTAGGTTGGAAAATTGATTTATCTATAGTAACTAGTTCTACGCTCTGTGCTGCACAAGACACTATAACGCGCCACGGACCTAGGCCGACATGCGTCTCTCTTCACGAATCCTGTCGACCACATTCTGCATAGCGCCCTCTCCGTTGTCATCATCGTATCGTCCTAGGTCAATGAGAAACCTTGTATTCGAAATTAAATTGCAAGAAAGTTGCCCATCCCCGATCTCCAGAGGATTCGGACTGGTTCTCGAAGCTTCGATCATGGCATGCAATAGCGCCATCATAGATATATCGGCAATATTTATGCTATGAAGATTTGGGTTAAGAAAATGGAAGAAAGGAAACCAAGGAAATGTTCTATCGGAGCCGCATTACATACGTACAAAGATTGTAGTCCACGATCATCAATTTCCCCTTGGGCCGTGATGCGCCGCCCGGAAAGCATGGTTACCTCAAACTTGCGACTGAAGATGTAGGAATATAATTACCACTCAGCACGATTAAACAAAGTAGATATAGGGGGTAGGCAAACTTAAAGCCAAGTCAAAGATGATTTGGTCCAACATCCGGCGGGTTTTCGCCGTGCTTGTGTACACATATACCAAAACAAATGACAACATAGTGAAATGAAAGGAAGCAAAACATGAGTTCATAAGGCGCCATTCTCATCCTTACCGTCACAATTACGTATCACGCAACGAAACAATTTGACCTCTTGGAGACTTGGCAGGTCGTTGAATTGATTGGATCACTGACATGTTGTAGGCTTGTGAGAGAAACTTGTGTGCCACAAAAATTTCAAGCATGTTGTTATTTTTGAATTGAGGTTGGCGCCTGCCAGGTGATTCGAACCCTTATATAATTGCGCCTCCAAAGTCCACAGTACATTGGGGAACGTAGTGCATGTGCTCTGGATGCACCACCTCCATATTTGTGGGAACATGATACAATCAATCGTAAGGATCAGATGTATATGCTTTTATTTGTATAGCACGCCGAGACAGAAGTATCTTCAATGAAGTAGCTAGAGACCGCGAGCGCAAGTCTCACTGCTGTTCCTCGTTCGGGTTGAAGTTTTTGGCGTATCAGTCAACAACTAATTCATACTGAAGCAGATCCTATACAGCAAAGACCGAAATCGGTTTCCCTTTTTTCTGTCTTTGATTTATACTACACGAACATTTTCAATGGTGGCGTGTTGATGGCACAGTTCCTTCTCACTAATCATACGATATGGTTTGTTTTCCCCCCTGCTGACAGCTTACATGTATGATCAAAAGCTAAATACAATTACTCCATGGCAGATAATCAATCTCGTCGTTCAGCTCATATGATTATCATTTTGACATCATCCAGAGGTAGGAGCTACTCGATTATTCTGAAAGCGGCCAAAATCTTGGTCTACGCCCTTGATAAAACAGACGCCATTCCCTGCCAGTAAATGAAACGCACAAACAAATAGACGGGTCATAAAGTGACGGCTGAAATCAGAGGTCACCTAGCTTAATGGTTTGTTTCTGGGCACTTTCCTTGTAATATAGTGGTAGAGAGAGTCTTACTAGGTACTGAATCTATGTTGGTGGAGTGAAACCTGATGAAAGTCAAGCTGATTACCACAAAATCTCTCAGTATGGTAGTGCCTCATATAACGTTGATCTCTACAACTTTCACCGCCAGAGCTTCGTTCTGAAGGCTGATGTGGCTGCAAAGTTTGAGTCAGAGGCCGCAGATCAAGGGCCTGCATGTCCATGTAACTGCATCAAGAACACCATGGCCTTGCCGCCAGCTACTACATCACATGGATTTTTGACAACATGATTTAATCAAGCCTGGAGTGAGAGTCGAGAATAACAGACAAGAGTAGGGTTAACGAAACTCGTGGCGAACAGCGAGTATAAGGCAACAACTAAGAATATGGTGTGCCCTACTGTTAAGAGGGAACAAGCTTTGTACCGAGAGTCGTCTCCATTCCCTCCAAGATACATGGGCTGATGCTAACCCAGAGCATCTTCTACAATCAGGCTCTGAAGCCACATCACCCATATTCCAAACATTCTTCAACATGTCTCCTCATACTTGACCGAACCCTATCAGCTGCAGCACGTTCAGGAGCCCTCAATTGCTTTGCCGCCAGCCACGATCATGGACCTCGTTGCCTCATTCCTTGACGCCTTGGCCATATCTAATTTCAAGCGATACTGCACCTGCAATCTTCTCACAATTTCAAGGGGATCCCAGCCCAGACTGGACCCGCGGCCCATGTCCTCAACAAACAGCTGCCTCGCTGCTTTGCTTCACCGCAAGAATTATGTCTGATCCCCGGAAACTACTACATGAGATGGAGTGGTGTGTAAATTTCAGCCTGGGCTTTGTGCTGTTGACTCGACCAACAACGGCTGAGCAAGCAGGGGCATGGACTGGCTTCTAGGGGCGTTGGTAGACCACGCATTTAGGAGTTGAGCTCTGTTACAAATACTGGTCATCCCCCGCCTCGATATTCACTTCATCTTACCTTCCTACCGACTTCTACCAACATTTACCAACTTTCAAGATCGGACAAAATGGGAAGCATTGAAGACTTTATGGAGATTTCTTTCGATGCTCAATCACCTTACATTATTGCCACCCTCAATTCTCTACAAACTCAGCATGAGAGCCCATCACCTTTGATTACTCCCTCCCTCGATAGTAACTCTCTACGAACTCATGACGAGTCCCTTCCGTTGACTTCCGTCCCCAACGATGCTGATATCTCCCTACCAACTCATCATGGTACATCGCCCCCGAGTCCCGAGTGGAGCACAGTGGGCCCTCAACATGGCCCACAGATCCGAAGCCAATTCCACCAGCTCTCGCATCATCAAACTTCTGCGACTAGCGGCAATCTCGTGGAAGAAGCTTCTGATCTTGGCGGCATCTTGCTTTCGCTGGCCAGTATTATACAAATACACTTTCCTGACACATCTATCTCGGATCTGATAAAGGAGAGCAAGAAAATGCCGCCGTTGCTATTCATTTTGGATAAACTTTATCTGCTTCGCAAAAAGCTAAACATGCAAGACCGATATCTTCAGAGTGAAACAAAGAACCTCAAGGATTATATCACCGAGCTACAAGACGAGTGCCGAAAACACGGCACGCTAGTAATCTTGCAATCTGTGGCCAAAATACCAGAGAGCTCTTTCCTTGTTATACTTGCAAAATTGAAAGACATGAGGTCGGACATCGCACCCATTGACTATCACCAAGTCACAATGTCAGTTTTTAACATCATCCTCGGATATATTCTTGGTGGAATCGGGTACTATATCAATCCAGATCGCGGTGTCACTCGTTCTTATCTACTTCAAATTGGGACAGCAGTAGCATGCGGATGGGCGGAAGCCCAGAAGCCTCACTAAGAACAATGAAAGACTGGTTATCTCGTCTGGCCCCTTCGTATCGGGCGTGACTGCGATTCCAGGAGATCTCTCCTTTAATTCCTGCTCTGAAAATACGAAGTAGGATTTGTATTTTTTAATTTAATATAATACTCTTGTTTTGATATACTAGTGTTAATAGGTTTCGATTAATTTTAAGATATTTTAAACTCTGTGCCAGTTTATGTACTTATGTGGCGAGGCCGTGGCTACTGTTCGTATAATGGCCTGAGCCGCATGATTTTATTGCTGGCCTGCCCGCACAGAACTGAGGAAAGCACAAGGGAAGTACAAAGGCTGACGAAGCCTCAGAGGGTGGCTTCCCGACTTTATGCCAAGAAGCCAGGCAAAGATGATCATACGATCGCGAAAGCGTGGAGGCCGATCTCGCTTCTCGCCACGCTTGGTAAGGTTTTGTAGTCGGTAGTTGCTGAGAGAATCTCCCACGCGGTAGAGACTCATGGACTTCTTCCGACCAACCACTTCGGTGCGCACAAGCAGCGGTCAGCGGAGCAAGCACTGGCACTTCTACAAGAGCACATCTTCTCGGCTTGGCGCTCACGCCATGTCGTGAGCTTCGTCAGTTTCGACGTTAAAGGAGCATATAATGGCGTATGCAAAGAGATATTACTGCAACGGATGAGGGCGAGAGGGATCCCCGAGGATCCCTTGCGCTGGATCGATGCCTTTCGTTCAGAGCGGACTGCAACCATTGTAATCAATGGCCAGAGTTCCAAAAGTCGACCTCTACCACAAGCAGAACTTCCACAAGGATTGCCCTTGTCGCCGATATTGTTTCTATTCTTCGATGCAGATCTAGTACAAACCCCGATCGGTAAGAATGGTGGGGCTATTGCATTTGTCGATGACTACACTACGTGGGTGTCGGGACCGACAGCCCAGAGCAATAGCAGAGGGATACAAGCGGTTATTGACAAGGCTCTCGACTGGGAGAGACGGAGCGGCGCGACTTTTGAGGCGGAAAAAACGGCGATCATACATTTCACCAGATACACAGGCAGGGTAGACTCTGAACCATTCACTATCAGGGGTGAGAGAGTATTTCCGAAGGACCAAGTCCAGATTATCGGGGTCGTCATGGACTCACGGCTTCACTGCAAGCAACACATTGCAAGGGCAGCAACAAGGGTCCAGGAGTTGCGATGGAAGACTGAAGCGACTCAAGGGAATGGTTCCCTCGACAACGAGGCAGTTGTTCACAGCCACGGTGGCCCCTGTGGTGGACTACGCCTCCAATGTCTGCGTGCAGAACAATACTGGCGTATGCGATCCATCGAGTACAAAGATAGGGGCACAAGCAATCATAGGATCCGTTACAAGCGTGGCGACAGGAGTGGCTGAGGCCGAAGCCCACATAGCGACCATCCACGAACGGTTCTGGAGACGAGCAAGCAAGCTGTGGGTTGACATGCACACGCTGCCGCGGACCGACCCGGTCCGGAATCTCTTATGAGGAATCAAAACGTTCAGACGCTTCATATCTCCGCTCAGGCGTATCGCGGATGTATGCAGAGAGCTACCGAAGGATACCTTGGAAGTCATCCAGCTATTCGCCAAAGCGTCATGGGAGGCACGCCTACATGTCATATTGAACAGCCAAGGAGAGGAAGAAGAGGACAAGACCAAGGAGCTTGCCAAATTAGGATGGACGGTGAGCTTAGCGACATGCAGCTCCGCAAGAAACGATCTGGTCGGCATGGGAGGAGCGATCAGGATCCCAATATCCGTGGCAAGAGCCGGCAAGATCAGCGAAACCGGGTACGAGGGAAGAACACAACCCCTACACAGCCGAACTGGCAGCGATCGCTCATGGCCTCAGCTGTTTGCCAGAAATAAAATATCGAGTCATTGTGATCGTGACAAGTAACAAATCGGCTGCACAAACTATAGGCAACCCCCGCCAGCAGCCAGGTCAAAGATATATACGAGAGATTTATGATGCTATAGAGAAGCTCCGAGGAGATGGAAATAGAGTCAACCTCATCTGGCTACCAGGCGACAGCGAGCTCAAAATCCAGAAGACAGCCAAGATGTCAGCTCGTTACGCAGCAAAGCCATGCATGACATCGCGGAGAGGAATGATCAAAAGATCACAATTCTTAATCGAACGAGGGCAAATTTACGAATGGAGAGAAGGCTACCAGGTGGAGTGAGTAGGCATTCTGGAAGGGTCGACTCAGCTCTGCCTGGTAAGTATACCCGCCTATTGTATAATCAATTATCATGCAAAGAGGCCAGCGCGCTGGCACAACTGAGAACGGGAATGGCGCGACTGAAAGGTTACCTATATCAGATCAGGGCATTACCGACAGATGAATGTCCGTACGGGCAAGCAAAAGAAACGGTAGAGCACTTCCTCTTCCGAGGTGTAAAATGGATGGCACAGCGCAAGGAGATGATGCTTCAATGTGTAGAGGCAAAGCGCGGCAACCTCTCCTTTCACTCAGGGGGCAAAGCTGCATCAGATGGACAAAAATGGACACCGAATATGGAAGCAGTCCGAGCCACAATCAGGTTCGCGATCGCCACAGGTCCCCTGGAACAGAGATGACAACAACATCACCACTTGGCCATAAACTTATACCTACTAACTACTGCCCCCTGCAACTAGAAGTAGGGATCGCTTCAGCCGCCGAAGATAGGAAACTGAACACTTGGAGGAATTGGGCTTCAAGTTGACCTGCTACTACTAACAGTTACGGAGATCAAGAAGATGAGCGATGATCAGCCTGGAAAGAACAAGACAAGAACCACATGGGCTTAGCGAGATTAAGGCAATAACTAGCGAGTTGTATGTATTCCTAACTCATAGAGCCCTCTGGGCAATGGCCTACCGGGCGTAATAGACTTGTATGTGTGTGTGTGTTATGTTTACTGCAATAGCCCAAGAACCTTTTAGCTTAAGATTCTCATTCTGGCTAAGTTTGGCCTACCTTAGACGACCCTGGACTTGACTTCGGTCACATGACATCAATTTCATTTTTCGAGACGTAGGTCACCAACACTTCATGTGCTCAATTAACGTCTTTGGCCCAGGAGCTCGATTCTGCCTCAACAGGCTAACATCATACCAGCGGTCGCTAAACGCCAGACTTTCATAACAACACATAATTCGACTCCCGGAGTCTGCTTCATTATCGACCGCGAGGGTTGCTGACAAAAGGTATTAGTAGCACCGAGGAGGTCACGTATATTTCCAAGCAGAATTCATCGGGCATAGCAACTGATTGCTTTTTCCTGTGATGGATACCAACAAAACTGATATGCTATATGCTTTCGGCAACAGCGTACCTACCCCAGAGACCGAAGTAACATACGACCTTGAGGTAGCTTCCCACGAAGCGTGTCAGCGACATAATTCATCACAAACAGAAAGGTCGTGTACACGCTTGTCACACGATCGAACGATAATAGATGAACAAGCTGTTCACATAGATATCTTGAAGCAAGAAGCTGAGCACTACAAAGAATCCGGAAAGGAGAAAGATGCTACAATCAAAACCCAGTATTTCTACCTGGCTAGCTTATATCACGACGTTGGCCGGTTGACAAACGAGAACAACAAGCTAAAGCATACCGCATCGGACCTCCGAAGTCAAGTGGAAGGATTCAGGACACTGGATTGGCAGATATCCAATGGCGCTGGGAAAAAGCGGAAGTTTAGTCACTATGATGTAGCCGAAAACCCGCCCTTTGTTTAGGAGTCATTTAATACTGTACTGTACTGTATCTACGAACAGAATACACGTAATTTCTGAACTATCGCCCCACGACAGCAAGCTATCGGATTCTAAGACACAAGTCCGGAACCCGTTGGAGAGTGAGTCGGCCTTGTAAGAGGCCTTTACCATTTCGAGCGCTTGTCTGTACAGTAACATCAAGCCACTGTTGAGCAAATTGAAGATGTATGTTGTTACATTTCATGCGATATGTATAAAATGGAATGTAGAGTACCTAAAAGACTTGATCTATAGGGTTATCACATCATGGGAGGTAACTATGGCCCACTAGGGACATTTATTTAGAGGCAACAAAGTGATCTCGCTCTTCGAAATCCATAGATTATCAATGACGCGTCGTCAGCTATGTAAGCCGTGGTGATACAAATCTGCTTGGCGGTATATCCCGTGCTTCCAATTACCCAAGGCTTGGGCATCAGAAGCAGCCGGTTGATTGAAACACGATCCTATCCGAGTACATATCAAAGAAAGCTACATGTGAGCCCAGATTTGAAGCTCACCGTGGAACAATCAAAAGTAAGGTGCTGTGCCAGAAAACACTTTTCATAATGATTCAGGCTATACGTCAATCTGTCACTCTGCATAGTTTTACAAATCAGTATATCAGTATTTTACTTGTGCTATTTCACCTTCGTTCCTGGCAGATATAAATGCAGCTCTGTATTACCTAGGTTCTTGAACCTGGTTCTCCTTTTGCAGCACCTGAAAGGCGCCTCGTATAAAGACTCAGATCAGCCGGAAGGAATCTAACTTTCAAGCTGCCAGCATGTTTGGCGTCGCGACCTGGCGTGCAGTAGTATGCCGAAAGCTGACGCTAATTCGATAACAGAATAGTCCCTTATATCTTGGAAAACCATGCTTGTCTATGCCTCTGAGGTCTCTCAATGATCCCAAGGGTTTCTATTTACCCTGCTGTCATCGGGAGGGATGATAGACCAATAACCGGAGATTGTACTCTGAACACGAATTGCGCGGCTGTTACCTGATGTCATCACTGGGTCTAAACTACCTCGACCTCCTTCGATGTTGATTTGATATGGCCTACTTTCTTTTTCACCTCGCCTCGGGTCTGGTAGAATATTTCCTGACCCCTTCAATCCCAACAACGGCCGGATTGTCGGTATACACCCCGCTGCGATCCCCAAAGCCGCTTCTATCACTGTCCATTTCGCAACGTCCCTGCATCAAGTTAGATGGGTGTGGATGGAGCCGAAACAAAAGTGATCTTACACCGTTTCGTAGAGAAAGTCCTTTTTTGGATCCAATACTTTGATATGAGGAATGCGGACAATCAGCACCGCTCCGGCTGCTCTGTCATGTTCATAATTTGTCAGTCATTCGATAGTCAACAAATAGACTTCTATCCACATCTCGACTAACGTGAAGGAACGGAGGTCTGAGGAATGGCACTTACAACAATCCTAAGCTTAACAGTGCTTGAATTCCGACTTTGGTTCGCCATGGTAAATGAATCTTTCTCAACACAATTATGGGTACCAGAGCAAGGACCCAATCGCCTAGAGCCAACACTACGCTGAATACTATGCCGACGGCTGGAACAATACTCTTCGAACATGTTCCCACATTTTTAGGATCCTCGAACTGCTTCCAGTAAAAGCCGGGAGGAGAGCACTGGAAAATGCTTACAGAAAGGAAAATATTTGAGGCAAGCCAGATACAATATAAGGAATATCTTAAAACATGTCTTAGAACTGGTATACGAATGGCCGGTCCTGTTGATTCTCCTGTAAAAGCTTCACCAAGATAAAGGGCGACAGATGTTTTGATAAGGCATGAAAGTAAGGCGTATATTATCTCGCCAATGTACCACGTTTGAAAACCTATGACAACTTGCCGGTGATCAAGGTCGTTCGAGTGTTGTCCTATGCCGCCCCTGATTACTCCACGTATCACAATGATGGCTTGAGCTGTATAAGGGGCCTTGGTCAATAATTAGCAAATAGTGCTAGTGGAACACTGTTTGAGATTTTTAATGCCCCATGCGAATTATAAAATATGGAATAGTTTGTGGCTGTCAAAATATAGGCTTACCGTAGAAGCATACATTAGGCTGTCGTGTAACGTGCATGATAAGCGAGTGCTCCAGACAAGCGAGTGCTCCAAAAATCCCTCAACCTACACTATCACTTTTCAATCAGATATTTCTCAACAATCCAATATGCCAGAGTCTCCAAATGAAGCTAAGATTATTCTTGCCCTTCAGGCCCTCCAGAATGACCCAAAATTAAGTCTTAGAAAGGCCGCAGCTATATATCATGTTGACCG